ACTTTACCAAATAGTGGGGTATTGAGTCCTATTGCTTCTGAATCTCTCTTGTCTAGTCTGTTCCATTGATCTATCTATTCTTTCGCTGATACCAAAATCATATAGTTAGAAGTGCTTATTCCCATTTGGTCCTTCTTCATCCTTTCCTTGGATATTCTAGAACTTGTATTCTCCAAACAAATTTTGTTATTGTTTTATCAAGAGCATCTATGAGACTTAATAATTGGATTGATATAGCATTGTAAGTGTAAATTAATATTGGTGGTATTGTCATTTTTACTATTTTGGCGGGGCCTAGCCATAAGCAGTGATTCATCTAGCTATTTAGATTGGGGTTTTTTTTTTTTAATTTTGTTAAGCACTCTGTGTATTTGAATCTATACAAGTGTTGTATGTGTGCTTGGGGAAATGGATCCCCAGATATTTTATGCATTTTGTATTTGGAATGGGATTTCCTTTCTCTAATTATTTCCTGGGGTCCAGTGGATAGTATTGGGCTAGTGTCAGGAAGACTAATCTTCCTTCCTTCTCAGACACTTCCTGGCCTCAGACACTTACTAGCTGCATCACCCTGTGCAAGTCACTTTGCTCTGTTTGCCTCTGTTCCTAATCTGGAAAATGAGCTGGATAAGGAAATGGCAAACCATTCCAGTATGTTTGCCAAGAAAACTCCAAAAAGGGGTAACTTAAGTAACTATTTTTGGGGGGTGATTTTTTGTGGGGGAGGGTTGTGAGGGTTTTTTTTGCAACATGTCTAATATGGAAATATTTTGACTACTGCACATCTAATCTACACCAAATGCTTGACTTCTTAGAGAAGGGGGAGAAGAGAATTTGGAACTCAAAATTTAAAAGACATTAAAAAAAATTTACATGTAATTGGAAAAATAAAATATTTAAAACAAATAACACGAATGTTAAAAATGTTATTACACAGAATTGGTAAAAATTAAAATACAAAATTTTTCACCTAAAAAAAAGAAATGACAAGCAGGAAGAATTGCATTAACTGATGTAAAAGTGAAGTGAGCAGAACCAGGAGAACATTGTACATAGTAACAATAGTATCTTATGATGATCACCTGTGAATTTGTTTTTCTCAGCAATTCAGTGATCCAAGACAATTCCAAGGGACTTACAATGAAAAATGCCATTTCCTTCCAGAGAAAGACCTGATGGAGTCTGAATGCAGAAGGCAGCATGCTATTTTTCACTTTATTTTTCATGTAGTTTTTTTCTTTTGGTCCGTGTCTTCTTTCATCACATGACTAATAAGGAAATATTAGTCTAGCCCTTACCCCTTATGAACTGCAGAGGTGACTAAACTGAGATACTGAGGCCTTGCCCCCATGAAACCAACACACACATGAGTAATGTGTTCATAAATTGGAAAGGATGCCTTCTAGGACCTGGATCTGGTAATCTACAATGTTTGTTACCGGCTCTCAGAATTTCCCTCTTCAGAAGTACGGGCTGGACCCTGGAATGCCAACTGAGTTTTTGAGGATTTGAGTGATAAAGGAAAGTGTTTGTGGATGCATGGATGGAATTAGGCAGATAGGTGGGCAAGCCCTGATGAAGGGACTTTAGGTCTTTACTGCATGAATAGAAAAATGCCTGGAAACATGTAGAAGAAGCAAACCATAAATCTGTTGAAAGGCTTTTTCACTAAGTAATAAATATGCCAAGAGCAAAGGTAGGGTGTTGGAGCAATAGACACGTGTGGGACAATGGCCACACTAGAATTAAAAGTTCAGAGGCTGAGTCAGAGGTCAGAAGAGGTTTTATTCTTTCTCATGAGAAAGGGCATAGCCCTCATTGAGCAGCGATAGCCAGGGAGTGCACTTGCTGGCTGTGAGAAGCAAAGTTTTATAGCCCTAACTTGATACCTCTCCCCATTTCTGAACCCTTCTTCCCATGGGCTGGGTTTCAGGGTGCACAATCTAAACGGCTTTCTAAGACCCTTATGGTAAGCTAGTTGATATAGATTATATATGTCCAAGGAAAACATTAGTCATGTTGTGAAAGAAGAAACAGACCAAGAGAAAAAAAAATGAAAAAAAAATAAAGTGAAAATAGTATGCTTTTATCTAAATTCAGATGCCATCAATTCTTTGTCTGCATGTGGATATTTTCCATCCTGTGTCCTTTGGAATTGTCTTGGATCGTTGATTGCTAAGAAGAGCTATGTCATTCATAGTTGTTTGTTGCACAATGTTGCTGATACAGTGTACAATGTTCTCCTGGTTCTAAGGCAGTAATTATCTAAAACTATCTGGTACTGGCTAAGAAACTGAAAGTTAGATCAGTGGAACAGAGTAGGCATACAATATATAGCAGTAAATGACTGTGATAATCTTGTATTTAACAAGTGTAAAGACTTAAGTTTTGGGGATAAGAATTCATTATTTGGTAAAACTTGCTGGGAAAGCTAGAAAGGAGTCTGGCAGAAATTGGGCATAGACCAATATCTTACATCATTTACAAAAATAAGATCAAAATGGATACATGACCTTAATATAAAGGGAGATATCACAGGAAAATTAGAACATGGAGCATATTACCTATCAGACTTACGTATAGGTAAACAATTTATGAATAAACAAGAGACAAAGAGCGTAATGAGATGTAAAATGGATAATTTTGATTACACTAAATTAAAAGGCATTTGTACAAATAAAACAAATTTAGCCAAGATCAGAAGAAAAGCAGAAAATTGGGGAAAATTTTTATAGACAGTTTCTCAGGATAAAGGTTTCATTATATCTCAAATGTATAAAGAATTCATATCTCAAGTACATAAAGAACTTTGTCAAATCTACATGAATACGAGTCATTCCCTAATTGATAAATGGCCAAAGAATATGAACAGGCCGTTTAGCAGATGAAGAAATCAAAACAATTTATAGTCATGTGAAAAAACGCTCTAACTTGGTAAGATTAGAGAAATGAAAGTTAAAACAACCTTGAGATATCAATTTACACCTATCAGATTGGTAAAATGATTGAAGGGGAAAGTAACATACGTAGCAAGGGATGTAGAAAAATCGGGACACTAATTTACTGTTGGTAGAACTGTGAATTAATCCAACCATTTTGGAGAGCAATCTGGAATTAACACCTAATTAAACTGCCTAACCCCTTCAACCCAGCAATAACATTATTCGGTCTGTTTCCCAAAATGATTAAGGGAAAAGGAAAAGAACTTGTATGTTCTAAAATATTTACAGCAGCTCTTTTTGTGGTGGCAAAGAACTGGAAGTTGCAGGGATGTCCATCAATTGGGCAATGGCTGAACAAGTTGTATATGACTGTGATGGAATACTACTATGCTATAAGAAATGATAAGCTCCATAATTTTAGAAAAACATGAAAAGACTTGTATGAAATAATGAAAAGTGAAATGAACAGAACCAAGAGAACATTGTATATAGTAGTAGCAACACTGTTTTAAGAACAACTGTGAGCAACTAAGTCATTTTGAGTATTGTAAATAACCAAATTAACTACAAAGAGCCAATGAAGGAAGATGCTATTTGCCTTCAAAGAAAGAATTGATAACTAGAAGTATGTATAATATGGTTTTACATATATTTACATATCTGTGTCTAATGATAGCCATCTGTACTGGGGGAAGGTGAAAATATTAATAGAGAATAAAAGAAATTTAGAAGGAAGCATAGAAAGCAGAGCAGCTTTGAAGTAATACTTATATAGTTTTTTTTTTTAAGTAAACAGCGTGAAATGTAAATTCATGGTTTTAAAGTGAATCCTCTTTTTAGGTTGTGCTGTGTACATGGAAATGTTCTTTTTTTGACCTTAAGTTCAAAATGAATAAAAACATTAAAATAAATAATAAGCTGGAGGAAAAAAGGAAATGCAGCAATTGGAACAGTCTGACCTGAGAATTCTCAAAATATTGGTTGGGGGTATGAACATGTGAGATCTCACAGGCAAGGCAATGACATCAATGACACATAGGTCTCTACAAAAAGTTCCCATGGAGTGCAGTTCTGCCTTGGATACATACTAAAGGCAAATCGAGTAAGAGACAGAGAAATTAAGAAAGTGGCAACTTATAGTAGGAAGGAACAACGATTTCATCGAAAAGTTCTTAACAAAGAGCAATTCTCAATGTAGGAAAGGAAGACTGTTGCAGCTAAAGAAACGATCCCGGGAAAGAAGAAAATCTAATGCACCACCAATCATTTGACCAGCTGCTGAAATCTTTTGATGTTTTATTTGTGTAGGCATTCTGTTAACTCTGAAAGGGAATCCCCTACATTAGTGAGATCACAGTTGTGTCCAAATACTGCATTATTTATCAATATCTTAAAAATACAAAAAGCACTGGATCTGGAAGAATCAGGATACCTTCATAACCTGCTTCTGACACTATCTGTAAAACCATGGACAAGTGAGTTGACTACCCTTTGCTGGTCTGTCTGTAAAACAAGGATAATGTTATGTATACTACCTATCATATAGAGTTGTTACGAAATGCGTCCTTTGTATTGTTATGATACTGTGTACGTGAATTGGTATTATTTATACAATAATCCTGAGATACCATATTTTTTAATAAAAGGTTAACATGACAAACCTGAGAATGGACTATTCTACCTTTATTTACATCAGGGGTTCTCGGGCTGCACGAACTTTTTTGTTTTAATTTTGATATCTGTGTTTCAGTATGGTTGGTTTTCTTTATAATCTTATGTACTTTGTGTTATGTATTTATATTCCGAGAAGGGAAGCATAAACTTCAACACATTGCTAGGAGAAAGGTTAAGAAACCCCTAAGCCTACACTGAGTTTTAAAGTAACTGCAAAGCTTGGCCACTTCCTAGGGCCACCCGATAGGTCGAGGCAAACGTTAGGTCATCAATTAGACGCGGTCTCCTATTGGGTATCTGATTTACAAGCTCGAGCCACTGGGGAACTCTAGCATTCATTCCTCCTCTCGCTTGGTGGAGCTGAAAGGAAAAGGATCGAGAATGGCTCCTTCCTATTGGTGAGGACGTCTTTCCAGCTAAGTCGTTGGCCTTCCATGGGCTGAGCGCTTGACGTAAGCCGCGCGCTGCCTCATTCACGTGTTGGGAGGGGAAGGGCTCGGCCGGCTCGGAGGAGGCGTGTGTTCTTATCCGGATACAGGCTACTCGTTGCTGCATGTGGCCTCTGTGGCTGACTTGGGCCATTCCGGGTCGGTGGGGCTACTGGAGCTTGCGGTTTGGGAGAACCATGTCTGAGGGCTCCGCTCGCCGACCGCGGCCTCCCAAGGACCCTTTGCGGCATTTGCGTACGCGAGAAAAGCGCGGTCCTGCTGGGGAGCGCGGGGGACCCAGCACCGTGTACTTGCAGGTGGTGGCCTCTGGGACCCGCGATGCGGGCTCGGCTCTTTACGTCTTCTCGGAGTTTAACCGGTCAGTGCGCCTTCTGTCCAGCCTTGACCCGCTTTGTCCTTATTGTGCTCCTGCCTTTCCCTTTGCCCTCCCCGCCTCCCGCCGCCCACCTTCGTTCTCCATTCGTCTTTCCCCAGATTCTAATCCATTGTCCAGTGGAGGCAGGCTCCCGGCCTGGAAAGAACGCCTAAGTTTGATTCCGTGCTTTGCACTGTATTACTGACCTCGGACAAGTCACTCCCCTTGGTTCCCTTATGTTTAAAATGAGAAGGTTGGACTTGGTGGACCCCAAAGCCCCTTCTAGATTGGGACAACCCTCAAGGATCATGCCCTCGGTAGTGTAGATTTCATTTCCATCCTGAGCATCTTGATGGGTCCTTCCCGTCCCTGTCCTAACCAGAGGCTGTGTGATTGGGTGGAAAATGCCGAATTTGGAGTCAGAGGACCTAGGTTTAATGATCTGGTTCTGCTACCTCTTTGACCATTTCTTGACATTCCCTGGGCCTCAATGTACTTATTTGTAAAAATGAGAAGTTTGGACTGTGTGATCCTTGAGGACACTTCCAGCTCTAAATCCATATAGTCTTATGAGGCCCAGCTTAGTGGAGAAAAGGTATAATTGAGCAATAGCCTGGTCTCTACAAACAGACTTTTCTTTCAGGGATGAATAGAATTTTAAAACCAAAACCCTTCAGGACTAAGGAGAGAACTTGGGAAGAGGTGAGGAGGGAAAAACTGGGAATGTTTTGGGAAGAACTTTGAATAGAAATGGGCCACTTATACCCTGCCTTAAAAACTCTTGACACCAACTGACTTGGATGTTGGATGATATTTTTGTAGGTATCTATTCAATTGTGGGGAAGGTATCCAGAGGATCATGCAGGAACACAAGTGAGTTCATCTTCCTTTTGGGTTTGTGGTTGATTCTGGGTTTTGTTCTTTGTGGGGATTTCTGAAGAAAATGACAGCATTTTGTAAGAAATAAGGAACTTTATAAAGGCATTTTTTTTTATCGATTTAGCACATTTATCAATATGCCCTTCCATTTTATTTTCTAGATTGAAAGTTGCTCGCTTGGACAACATCTTCCTGACTCGAATGCACTGGTCCAATGTTGGGGGTTTGTCTGGTGAGTTTGTTTTTAGGAACATCCCTGGTAGTATCCTGGAATTTCAATTAACCCTGATAACTTTTTTTAAAAAATAATTAATTAATTTATTTTTAGTTTTCAGCATTCACTTCCATAAGATTTGGAGTTTTAAATTTTCTCATCCTCCCTCTCCGCCCCCCCTCCTAAAACAGTGTGCAATCTGATATATGCTCTACTCATACATTCATATTAAGCATATTTTCCCATTAGTCATGATGTAAAGAACTAATAGGAGGAACCACAAGAATGAAGCAATAAAACAAAACAACAAAGGAAAAGGAGAGCAAAGAGTATCCATCCAATCTGCATTCAGACTCCATAGTTCTTTCTCTGGACTTGGATAGCATTTTCCATTGTGAGTCTTTTGGAATCGTCTTGGATCCTTGCTAAGAAGAGCCAAGTCTATCAAAGTCAGTCATCGTAGAGTGTGGCTGTTACTGTGTATAATGTTCTCCTGGTTCTGCTCATTTCACTCAGCATCAGTTCATGTAGGTCTTTCCAGGTTTGTTTGAAGTCTGCCTGCTCATCATTTCTTATAGCACAGTAGTATTCCATTACATTCATATACCACAGCTTGTTCAGCCATTTCCCAATTGATGGCCATCCCCTCAATTTCCAATTCTTTGCCACCACAAAAAGAGCTGCTATAAATATTTTTCTATATATGGGTCCTTTTCCCTTTTTTATGATCTCTTTGGGATATATACCTAGAAGTGGTACTACGGGTCAAAGGGTATGCACAGTTTTATAGCCCCTTGGGCATAGGTCCAAATTGCTCTCCAGAATGGTTGAATCAGTTCACAACTCCACCAACAATGCATTAGTGTTCCAATTTTCCCACATCTTCTCCAACATTTATCATTTTCCTGTTTTGTCTCGTTGGCCAATCTGATAGGTGTGTGGTACCTCAGAGTTGTTTTGATTTGCATTTCTCTAATCAGTAGTGATTCCCTGATCACTTCTTGTCTCAATATTAACTCATCCATTTAGCAAATGGTTACTGGCTATCTGATGTATTCAAGATACCAATTCAGGTGAGCTAGAGCTCTTGCTTCTCTAGCCTATTCATCATTAGTGTGCTAAGTAAAACCTGTGATTTATGAAGAAATCATCTTTAATCAGTGGACCAACTTTGAATATTTATTACCTATTTGACTTGCTTTGCTATTGTACCAAAGATTTGTGGCTGGAAACTGGAAAGGGTGATATATGAGTAGTAGTCATGACTCATGGATTAAATAGGTCCGCGGTGTAGGCATATTGACTGCTATAATAAACAGAATTCTGTGCTTGAAGGTAGAAAGTCCTGGATTCAAATCCTGCCTCCAATACTTAGTAACTGTATCATCCTCATGGGTCACTTAATAGTGTCAAGAGCACTGTGCTAAGTGCTGAGGATATAGATAGAAACATAAGAGTCTTTACTCTCTCCTGTTTTAATGAGACAACACATATAGATGATTTCATTTGCAAATCAAATGGAAAGTTCCCGTGGTTCTTATGGTTCTTAGGGTGCAACAGCAAAGTAGATGATAACGTATGTTTTTACTGTTAATTCTACTGCTAAAACCAATGCCAGTGGCCTTGACGGTGAGAACTTTCTTTCTGAGTGTTTAGTGCCTGTGGCTGTGGGACCTGCAGAATCAGTTGGCAGGTTGCATCACCTCAAGAGTTGCTTCCAAGGAGATGCCTGCCAGGGCTAGATTGGAAGTGTGACTAGTGGTTTTGGGGAGAAGCTGTCACTCATAGGACTTTTAGACTGACGTGCTCATCAGAGCCACCATTTGGTGATGGTGGTGATAAAGAAGATGATGAGGAATTTATCTACAGTGATTGCTTGATGACAGCCATGGGGCTTGGGCTAGCAACAAGGCCTTGGGGTACTGCTATTTCCAAGACTCTTGTGTTTAGGGCCCTGGGCTTTTTCCAGCAGGGTCTGGGAGGGAAGAGTTGGAATTGTTGAAGTGGTGGTTTCACTTGATATGTGCTGCCTCTTATCTCTCCCTCAGGGTACCTTGCTGCTTCAGCTGGGCTGGCTTGCCAGGCTTCTAGGTGGTAATTTGGTTGGCATTTGATGGGACGATTTATCTCTTCCTTATAGAAATTACTTTCCTGGATGGTTGGTGGAGATGGAGACTAGACTGGAAGCAGGGCTAATAGTCTTGTAATAGAGGGTAGAGGAAGTGGCCCTGCTACTCCCAACACTCTTAGTTTCAGGATGTTAGGCTTTCTCCACCAGTCTTTTAGGGGAGGTAGTGGTGGTGGTGGTTTGACTTGCCTGGCACGTGCTGCCTCCTTACTCTTGGAGTGTCTTGCTGCAATTTTATGCTAATGTATGTATATGCACTGGTAGAACAAATTCTTCTCCTACACCAATGCACATCAGCACCTTCTGTAGCTGGTAATTTTAAAGAGGTGGGACTTGAACTCAGGTCTTCCTGCATCCAAGCCCAGAACTCCATTACATTTTAGGTTCTCAGTGCCTCAGAGATTTAAGTTCAGAAGACTCCTCCCAAACAATATCACAGAATCTTTCTTTGTTTCTTGTTGTTGTTTTTTTTTTGTTTTGTTTTTTGTTTTTTTTGCTAAGCAGTGGGGTTAAGTGACTTGCCTAGGGTCACACAGCTAGTAAGTGTCAAGTGTCTGAGGCCAGATTTGAACTCAGGCCCTCCTGACTCCAGGGCCGGTATTCTATCCACTGTGCCATCTAGCTGCCCCCAATATTATAGAATCTTACCATATTTACATATTCACTACCATCCCAGTCCTTATTGGTGAATGTTATATTCCTTCATTTCTATCCACTGCTGAACCAAAATTTTTAAGTGTTTTTACTCTCTGTGGACAATTTCTGATGATTGCCCACACCCTCCTACTCACCTATTTCACCCAAATTTTCATTGTCATCTGGGCTGTCAATTTTCCCTGCTTCTTTCTTAGAAGGTGGAATGCAGACAAGAGGACAGCTAGTTAAATGGGGTGAGGTCATTTCCTCTTTTAAAGATAAACCTTGACAGGAGAGACAGCCTGAAATAGTAATCTCAGTTACAAATGGCAAAGAAATCTGTATAATTTTATAATATCCACCTTATTTCTTTTTAGGAATGATTCTTACCTTAAAGGAAACTGGGCTTCCAAAATGTGTTTTTTCTGGACCACCACAGTTGGTAAGTTTAAGTTGTTCAAGCAAACAAACAAACTTAGGTCTAAAAATCTGTGAAAAGGAAATCTTTGATGACTGGGATTCTATATGGGAATTCTCATAATGGCCCAACTGGCTCATTTACGAGGTACCTTGGTTTTCAGGGCTGGAGAGGGCAGGGAAATAAATGGTCTAAGGAGATTGGGGAGGGCTAATTAAATACTAGGAAAAAGTGGTTGTTACTATGTGGTATGGAGAGAGTCAGCTAATGTATTGAAAAGAGCATTTAACTAGGAGTACATTCTAGTTTTGACAAATCTCTTAGATTCCCTAAGCCTCAGTTTCTTCATGTTTAAAATAAGGGGAGCAGATCATTCTATGAGATCTCTTTGGGATCCCTTTCACATCTAACAGTCCATAATTCTGTAAGCTTTTAATATTAGTAATGTGACTTTAGGACTATTCTTATAAAGCAGAATTATGCTATATAGCATAAATTCTAGATAATTTCCAAAGCAGCAGCAACTTGTTGACCTGGCCTCTTTCCTTCTGACTCAGTTGTACTGAGCCCTGTTTTCAAATATGGAAAGAAAACAACTTGAATTTTTCTTAAGAGAAGACTTCTAGTGGTTCAAATTATGGGCTCTGTGTTCGTTGATTGTAGCTTTGATTACCTTCCATGAGGAAGGCAACATTTTTCTAACATCTGTAGAAAGCTTTGTTTTTATCAGATACATTCTCAACTTGTATCAACTTGTAGATATGATATAATGTAGATATGATAGAATGTCTTGTCTGTCTCTTTATAGGAAAAATACCTAGAAGCTATCAAAGTATTTTCTGGTCCATTGAAAGGAATAAACTTGGGTATGTGTTCAACAATGATTTATCTACTATTCTGTTCCTATATGGTTTTACTGTGTCATCAGCCTTAAGATGAAAATTGGCCCTCGGGCAAATCTTATGAAAAAAACCCTTACATTAAATAATTGATATTATCTAAATGTTTTCTTCTATCCCTTAGTCTTATTCATCACAGGTTAAGTCAAGTTGTATCAACAAACACTTGTTATTCTGTGCGAGGCACTTCTTAAGTGATCAGAGTACAAAGAAGGGCAAAAACCAGTCCCTGTCTACAGGAAGCTCATGTTTTAGTGATAGAGACAATATACAGACAATTATATACATGTGAGATATATACGGAGTAAATTGGAGATGATCTCAGAGCAAAGACAACAACAGTGAGAGTGACCATTTACATATGCCTTATATAAAAAGCATGAAAGCCTTTTATAGAAGGTAGGATTTGAGTTGAGTATTGAACAAAGACACAGAAATCAGAGGTGTAAACAGGGAGAGCATTCCAGGAATGAGGTACAGCTAGTGAAAAGGCGTAGAGGGTCTTATGTCCAGTGCGACTGGATTGTAGAGTACCTGAAAAAGAGTTAAAAATAAGACTGGAAAAGTAGGAGGGATCAAGTTGTGAAGCCCTGTAAAAGGCAAACAGAATTTTTTATTTGATCCTGGAGGTAACAGGGCCAAATACTCTATCGAATAGAGGTGTGATATGACCAGATGTGTGCTTTAAGGTCATCACTTTGGCCGCTGAGGAAAGGATAAACTAGAATTGGGAGAAACTTGAGACAAGCAGAGCTACCAAAAGGCTATTGCAATGGGCCATGGTCTATACTGGGATGGTGGCAGAGTTAGAGGAGAGAAGGGAGATGTTTACAGGCAAAATCAATGGGACTTGGCAACTGGTAGGTTATGGTGGGATGGAAATGAGGAGTGAAGTGTGACACTTAGGTTGGAATATGGTAGAAGTTAATAGGGAAGTTGGAAAGAAAACAGGGTTTGGGGAAAAGATAATGTATTCACCTTTGGACAAGTTGAGTTTAAGATGTTATGTTTATAGAACATCTGTTTCAAAATGTCCAATAGCAATTGGAAATGCAGGACTGGAAGTTAGGGTGGGATAAATTTGAGAATTTTTTCTTGGAGATAATTGAATACATGAGAGCTAATGAGATCACAAAGTAAAATAGAATAGAGGAAAAAGAAAAGGGAGGAGAGATAAAGGATAATAACTGTAGGGGTTGGTCAGATCAAGTAAAGGTTTTTTAAAGATTGAGGAGATGTGGATGTTTTACATGGATCATGGAAGTTGGCAGTAGAAAAAAGAGTGAAGATTAATTAGAAAGTAGAAATGGTAGAAAGGGCAATCTGTTGGGTGAAATGGAATCACTTGTGCATGTATGAGAAGTTTGATTTGTCAAGAAGAGCCTCCACTTGAGATGACACAGAGATGGAGGAGGAGATAGTGGGGAAAAGCATCTGAGTGAAATGAGATGAGACAGCAATAAGAGGGAGGTATAGGCGAATGGCCTCAATTTTTTTCTGTGAAATAAGACAAGCTGAGGGGGGAGGTGGATCCATGGGAGATTCAAGGAGGGATGAGAAGGTTTGGAAGAGCCTCTCTGTAATGAGATATTGAATGATTAGGGAGGTTAAAAAGGATTGCCTTGCTGCAGTGAAGGCCCATTTGAGATTTTGTAACATAAATTTTTAGTGGACCCATTCAGTATGGTTTTGTAATTTTTCTTCAGCTTTATTCAACAACAGGTAGAACAGAAGCGTCATATAGTGAGAGTGATCCAAGATTGGAGCATAACAAGTAATGATCTTTCATAAGAAAAGGAGGGGCAAGGGACTTCAGTATAGATTTGAAGTGGTTTATTAAGTGAAGGTGGGGGGAATAGAGGGGAGTGTAGTCATTGAATGGAGGGATGGAAGGATTAATAATCACAGCGAGAACAGAAAATCAAGGTTCAGGGTCATAAGGCAAGGGAAAAAAATGATAAAATATAATCAGATAAAATAATTTTATTCACAGTTCTTTAGCACTGAATAGGGGAATACTTGTAGGTGATGGATCAAGGATATGATCATCTCTAGCTGTGGTGGAATAGGTCATGGGAAATAGGTAGTTCAAAGAACAAAGAAGTTTGGATGTTTGAGAGAGTTTTCATATGTTGTTGAAGTAAGAGGGCAGGAATTAGAGAGGAAAGCTTGGGAGCCAGTTGATGAATTCATTAAAGAAGGAGGGGGAGAATCCTCAGGGTTTCTAGATAACAATTAATCATAATTTTGATTGGGTAATATAGATAAATTGAAATTCAGAGGTTACTGAGTGTTGGTGGTAAAAGGAGAGTCTTAAAGTGTCAATGGGGAGTAAAGAGTCTGTAGGAATAATTTTTTTTTAGTTTATTTTGATTTATCAACAATCACTTCCATAAGCTTTTGAGTTTTAAATTTTTTCCACCTCCCTCCCCAAGACGATGCTCAATCTGATATAGACTCTACATTTACATTCCTATTAAACATGTTTTCACATTAGTGATCTTGTAAGGAAGAATTAGAACCAATAGGAGGAACCATAAGAAAGAGAAAACAAAACAAAACAGAAGGAAAAAATAGCAAATAGTATGCTTCGATCTGCATTCAAACTCCGTAGTTCTTCCTTTGGTTGTGGATAGCATTTTCCATCATGAGACCTTTGGAGATGTCTTAGATCCTTGCGTTGCTGAGAAGGACTAAGTCTATCAATGTTAGTCATCGCACAACATGCCTGTTACTGTGTACAACGTTCTTCTGGTTCTGCTCACTTCAGTCAGCATCAGTCCATACAAGTCTTTCTGGGTTTTTCTGAAGTCTGCCTGCTCATCATTTCTTATAACACAGTAGTATTCCATTACATTCATATACCACGACCTGTTCAGCCATTCCCCAATTGATGGGCATCCCCCTCAATTTCTAGAAATAATTTTTAAAAACAACTGTGTACAAATACAGTATTGTGGGTTCTAAATAGTTGCTCCTCATTTTAGATAGATTTAATGTTGCAACTTCTCTGGATGACTCTGCCTTCCTAACACCCTGTGTTTCCTGCCTCTGCTTTTATTTATTCATTATTCCTAAAATACTTTTCCTCCTTCTTGTCTGTTGACTTCTTATGTTTTAAAGCCCAACTCAATGCCACTTTCTCTGTTGTTTTCCTTTTACTCTCCAGTTATTAGTGATTCCCCTACTTAAACCCAGCATAGCATTTTGTTTTGTTGCCTCTGTAATGCACGTATTGAGTTTCATGGTTATCAATATATGTCTTACTCCCTTTTCTAATCATACTTTTTTTGATGACCTCCTGTACCAAAGTGTCAAATACAAGGCAAGGCTGCATATGGCCCACAATATTCCTGAGTGAAGCCTGAACCAGATTAAAATAGAATTGGGAAATATTTAACAAAATAAAAATGTAGCAGAACATTACATCTTAAAATTAAGTTAATATGTAGCCCGCAGGGATATTTATGTATAGTTTAGTGGCTTCATTTCTATTTGACTTTGACTCCGCTGCCCTATACTATTTTAGTGTGGTACATCATTGATTGAATGTAAACTGCAATCTTCATGTACCCACCATTGCTTTTTGGATTATAATTCCTCAGGGATTGTTATGTTTCATACAGGCTGTTTGGGAAAGATTTCATATTCAAAGATGTTTTTTGGGCTGGGGAGCAATTTGGAATAATTAAAAGCTTTGTAGAATTTCCCACATGCAATATACCCTGCTTTCTTCTACACATTTGGGCCCTTAACACTTTCGTTTGCAATATGCTGGATTAAGGAGAGAAGACTCTTAGGAAAACAAAGTTAAAAATAGTAACTAAGTCTAACCAGGTCTACACCAAGAAAATCTGCCGGAGGGAGCACCATCTTAAAAGCATGGAGAGATCATTTTAAAAGATTGCAGAAAGGGAATATACTATAAGAAAAGAAATATGAACACTATTAATATGAACACTATTAATACCCAGTAAAGACCATCCATAACTATAAGTGCAGGTGTCTCCCTTCTCATAGACATTAAGAAGGTGAGAAAAATCTATATTTGTATTAAGGGTATCCTTGATGAAAATGAGAAAGGAACCAGCTAAATTTTGCAATTGACTGGCCCCATCTTTACAGCCACTCAATGATTAAATTGTGCAAAGTATGTTTATTTTTTGTTGAATACCAATTCTCCCTTTCCCCCTCAAAAAAAAAATGATTAGAAAAATGAACCCTTAAAGATTGCTGTTCAATAAATGTTTCCTGTATATGTTGAATGGTCCTTTATGAACAGCTACAGTGATTGACTGTCTGGTTACTTACATCATTAGGGAGAGTTGTGCTCCTCTAAAGCTGTTTTTCATAGTTATATAAGATGTTCATTCAAGGGCCATGTAGAAGAGAGGTTCCCTCTAGATGGTGAGATCCTCCAGTTTCTCCTGTTTGTGAATGACATTGTCCTGATTACATTAAGCCCTAGAACATTACTAGACTTCCTCAGTGAAAGCTATGGTTATTCAAAAGAGATTGACCTAACAGTCCATGCAAGAAAAATTAAATGGATAAAAAATGCCTGTTGTCTAGACAATGACATGAGTAGATGGATAAGAAATGCCTGTTTTCCAGACTAGGACATCCAGTAGGGTGGGCAGTCCTTTGAGTTAATCCATCAGTAATATTACCTGGGACATACCTTGTAGACAATAGTGAAATAGGCCCAGAATTCAGTAGGAGTAAGACAGCAGACTTTGTTGTTGTTAAGTAGTGTCTGACTCTTGGGTACCTCATAGAGCATAGCAAGCCAGGGCCTTCTATCCCTCCACTATCTTGAAGTCTATCCAAGTTCATGTTCATTGTTTCCATGACACTACCTTTCTTTCTCATCCTCTGCCATCCCCTTTTTCTTTTGCCTTCAATCTTTCCCACTTTCAGAGTCTTTTCCACTGAATCCAGTCTTCTCGTTATGTGGCCATAGTACTTAAATCTTGGCTTCAGTATTTGACCTTCCAGTGAATAGCCTGAAATACTTTCTTTAAGTATTGACTGATTTGATCTCCTTGCTGTCTAAAGGACTCTCAAAAGTCTTCTCCAGCACCACAGTTTGAAAGTGTTGATTCTGTGGTGCTCAGCTTTCTTTATAGTCTAACTCTCACAGCCATACATTGCTACTGGAAAAATCACAGCTTCTGAGTATACGGATCTTTATTGGTATGCTGTCCAGATTTGGCATAGCTTTCCTTCCAAGGAGCAAGTGTCTTTTAATTTCATGGCATCAGTCACCATCAGCGGTGATCTTTGAGCCCAAGAATATAAAATCTGACACTGCTTTCATTTCTTCTCCCTCTGTTTGCCAGGATGTGATGGAGCCTGTTGCCAAGATGTTAGTTTTTTTGATGTTAAGCTTCAAGCCAGCTTTTACGCTCCTCTTTTACCCTTATTAAAGAGGCTTCTTGATTCCTCTTCACTTTCTGCAATCAAACTGTTACCATCAGCATATCTGATGTTGTTGCTCTTTTTCCCAGCAACCTTAATTCCATCTTTTGATTCATCCAGCTTGGCATTTTGTATGATGTACTCTGCATATAAATTAAATAGATATGGTGACAATATATAGTGTTGTTGTACTCTTTTTCCAGTCATAAACCAATCATTTGGTCCATGTTTGGTTCTAACTGTTGTTTCTTGGCCTGCATACAGGTTCCTCAGGAGACAAGTAAGATGATCTGGTACTCCCAACTCTTTGAGGACTTGCCACTTTTGTTGTGGTCTGCACAGTCAAAGACTTTAGTGTAGTCAATGAAGCAGAAGTAGATATTTTTCAGGAACTCTTTGCTTTCTCTAATCCAGTAAATGTTGGCAATTTGATCTCTAATTCCTCTGCCTCTTGGAAGACCAGCTTGCTGTTCTGGTAATCCTCGCATCACATATTGATGAAGCCTAGTTTGCAGAATCTTTAGCATAATTCTGCTGGCATGTGAAATGAGTGAAATTTTTCAGTAATTTGAACATTCTTTGGCATTGCTCTTCTTTAGAATTGGGATATAAATGGATCTTTTCCAATCCCAAACTGTTGAGTTTTCCAAGTTTGCTGCCATATTGAGTGCAGCATTTAACAGCATCATCTTTTAGGATTTTAAATAGCTTAGCTGGAATTGCATACCTCTACTAGCCTTATTGTAATCAATGCTTCCTAAGGCCCACTTGACTTCATTCTCCAGGATGTCTTGCTCTGGATCAGTAACCACACCATCATGGTTATTGGTGATGTTAAGATCTTTCTGGTACAGTTCTTCTGTATATTCTTGCAACTTCTTAATTTCTTCTGCTTCTGTTTAGTCCCTACCATTTTTGTCTTTGATCATGCCCATTTTTTAAATTAAATAGTTTATTTATTTTTAGTTTTTAATAATCACTTCCATAAGATTTTGAGTTTTAAATTTTCTCCACCTCCCCAAGACAGTGTGTGATCTGATATAGGCTCTACTTATACATTCATATTAAGCATATTTCCCATCAGTCATGATGTGAAGAAGAATTAGAACTGATGGGAGGAACCATGAGAATGAGACAATAAAACAAAACAACAAAAGAAAAGGAGAGCAAATAGTATGCTTCCATCTGCATTCAGGCTCCATAGTTCTTTCTTTGGATGTAGATAGCATTTTCCATTGTGAGTCTTTTGGAGTTGTCTTAGATCCTTGCATTGCTAAGAAGAGCCAAGTCTATCAAAGTCAGTCATCGTAGAGTGTGGCTGTTACTGTGTATAATGTTCTCCTGGTTCTGCTCATTTCACTCAGCATTAGTTCATGTAGGTCTTTCCAGGTTTGTCTAAAGTCTGCCTGCTCATCATTTGTTATAGCACAATAGTATTCCATTACATTCATATACTATAACTAGTTCACCCATTCCCCAGTTGATGGCCATCCCCTCAATTTCTAATTCTTTGCCACCACAAAAAGAGCTGCTGTAAATATTTTTGTACATGTGGGTCCTTTTCCCATTTTTATGATCTCTTTGGAATAAGGACCTAGAAGTGGTACTGCTGGGCCAAAGGGTGTGCACAGTTTTATAGCCCTTTGGGCATAGTTCCAAATTGCTCTCCAGAATGGTTGGATCAGTTCACAACTCCACCAACAATGCATTAGTGTTGCAATGTTCCCACATCTCCAACATTTATCATTTTCCTATTTTGTCATGTTAGTTAATCTGATAGGTGTGATGTGGTACTGCAGAGTTGTTTTGATTTGCATTTCTCTAATCAGTAGTGATTTAGAGCATTTTTTCATTTGACTATAGATAGCTTTAATTTCTTCCTCTGAAAACCGCCTGTTCATGTCCTTTGAACATTTATCAGTTGGGGAATGACTTGTATTCTTATAAATTTGACTCATTTCTCTATATGTTTTAGAAATGAGACCTTTGTCAGAGACACTGGCTGTAAAAATTGTTTCCCAGCTTTCTGCTTCCCTTCTAATCTTGGTTTCATTGGCTTTGTTATCGTGCCCATTTTTGCGTGAAATGTTCCCTTGATATCTCTAATTTTCTTGAAAAGATCTTGTCTTTCCCACTCTCTTATTTTCTTCTATTTCTTTGCATTGCTCATTTAAGAAAACCTCTGTCCTTGCTGTTGTCTAGAATTCTTCGTTCAGTTGGTTATAGCTCTTTCCTTTTTATTACCCTTTACTTTCCTTCTTTCCTCAGCTATTTGTAAAGTCTTATCAGACATTCATTTTGCTTTCTTGCTCTGCCTTTTCTTTGGAATGTTTCTTTGTTGCTGCCTCTTGTGTAATATTGTGTACCTCTAACTATAGTTCTTTAGCATTCTATCTACCAGATCTGATCCCTTAAATCTCCTCCACTTCATAGTCATAAAGGATGTTATTTAAGTCATACCTTTATGGTAAGATGGTTTTCCCTACTTTTTTCGGTTTGAATTTGAATTTTGCAATAAGAAGCTCATGATCTGAGCCATAGTCAGCTCTGGGTCTTGTTTTAACTGACTGTATGTATAGAGATTTTCCACCTTTGGCTGCAAAGTATATAATCCATTTGATTTCTGTATTGACCATCTGGTGATGTCCATGTGGGTTATTCAAAAGGAATGTTTGTTATGACCAGTGAGTTATCTTGACAAAATTAGGACAGCAGGCTTGGATTGCTTTTGGTATATAGTACTTAAAAATAATAGCTCTAATTACAGTGGAAAAGATTAGTGATATGTTAATGTATAGATACTCTGTAAGTTCTAATTTATGATGATGAAGATATTTTTTTTCTCTGAATTGTCTTTTTAAAACTATTAGAATGCTTTGCTTCATTTAGTGATGTGAAGATACATAGTATGGTGAAGTGAGGAAGACCTGGATTCAAGTCTTTCCTCTGACACATACTGGTTTTGTGGTCCTGGGCAAGTCACTTAACTGTCTCACTACCCCAAGACTATAAAATTGTAGAATGCATATTTGTCCCTGAACCAATTAAATCATAAGTCCAGAACAAAACAAAAAGCCATGAAAAGTTAGGAACACAAATTCTTATCCACAATAAAGAGAATTGGATTGTTTTGTGGTCTAATCTTGTTTCACTTCCTCTATGACTATCTATACTAATTTGTTCTTTTGTGCTTTTGTTAAATGTCACATAGCTGTACGACCCTATTCGGCTCCGGAATACAAAGATGATACAATGACAGTTTTTCAGTTGCCTATACAAAGTGAGTATGAATGTTTAACTTCCTGATAGGAGGGTGTGTGGTTTTCTAGATAAAGGCTATCTGGACAGAAACTAAATTGTTCCAATGACCTGGGTTCAATTTCTGGTTTTGCTGATTGGGCAGATGATTTCATCTGTCTGTACTTCATTTCCTCTTCTAAAACACCTTTAAAGTATCTTCAGTCTCTAGCATTCTGTGGTTTTATGATGTTAGGTGGAAAAAGATCCAGACAGGTAAAGTTTCTTGTCATGGTCATATAGGTCATAAAAAATAGAGTCCAAATTTGAATCCAGGTCTTTGATTCTAAATATAGTGTTCTTTATACTTTACTGTCTCAGGGCTTGAGCATTTAGGGAAAGCTCCATGAAACACAGAAGACATTTTAAGTGGAAAGAATAGCATAAGCCAAAGCATTGGTGTTTTGGGGACTGTAAGGAAACTGTCCTTACAGTAAAAACTTGGAACAAAAGGGGTAGAAAAAGTATCATAAGAAAACAGGTTGTGTGGGGCTAGCAGCTACTTTATCTGACAATAATAGTGGGTTATTTCTGACCTTAACATTCAGAGTGGCTTGAATACCTCAAAGGATCAAGCTATGTCAATTGATGCAGTATATTTTTTATTATTTGTATGGCAAAGAAAATAGAGATAGTTGGATGAAATTTCATAGGAAAAAAATACATCGATTGACAGGTCTTATGCTTCTGGTGTTAAGAGAAAACTGAATAAAGTTTGAACAATTATTTCTGCTATCTCAGCAGGATAAACAGTATTGTTTTTACCTAGTTGTACTTAATTTAAAGCCATATTACAACTAATAATAGTTTAGTTTACTAGTAGCTAGTAAGCTATCTTTATATAGTATTTTAATGTTTACAACATTTTCTTCACAATGTCTCTGTTAGATAGTTAAAGGTCTTTCACTGAAGTCCTCCTTCACTGATGCCCCATTATGGTGTAGTGCCCTAGGCTTTTATAAAAAGATGCTAATAGAGAACAGGTGCTGGCAGCTCCTGTCAGACTGGTTATGGACTGCATGCCTTTCAGTTTACCAGTGTAGCTGAGTCAAGGATGTTCATTACCAGATTGACCATAGCACCTCAGTGAAATATTTGTCATAGAAAGTTATGATCTGTTGATGGAAAGGAGTACTCCCACCACTGATATTACAGATCTTTGAAGTATTAAAGTAAGAAACCAGCATTCTGTTATTATATATTTGGGTTGAATGGTAGCATCCAGAGAGAAAAACTGCCTAAAAGTTTGTCAGTCACGACACCACATAAAATTTTTCACCTAGGCCTATGAGAGGCAACATGGTACAGTTAAGAGAGTATATTCATATGTATTATTCACACTTGGAAGTCAGAACATCTGGCTCTGTTCCTGTGATCTTAACTGAATCACTTCCCCGTTGTGTCTCAGTTTTCTATGTATAAAATGTGGGGGATTGTACTGAGGTCCCTTCCATCTCTAGATACCATGAATGTGTGGAAGGTGTCTTTGAGGTAGATAAACTTTCTGCTCTGGGTATTTTCTGGAATGATAGAGCAGTTCACCTGAGGAAACCATATTGCGGTTGAACTAATCTCATTTTATGAAGTTTATACCAACTGAGAAACATCTCTGCTTTGAATGTACGGTTTCTGCCATTTGATGTCTAATTTGGTTGCTTGCTCTACTATCCAGGTAAAGGGGTCGCAGGTGATTACCAGTTAACTCAGCATTCCAGAAAGTCTCCCACAAGGTTTAGTCCAAACCATCCTACCAACTTTGAATCTTTTAAAAGTGAACAGGAACTTCCAGGTGGTAATGGAAATAATTCTCCAAAGGACATAGGTAGGAGGGTTTGCATTTTTTCCTTTGCATCTGTAATCTTAATGTTTTAAATCAATTTCTGCAAAGTTGTGAATAAACTAGATTATTCTCTGATTGATACAGGGGAAAAATTAACAGATTATGTTCTGCTTGGCTTACATTATCATTGTAGTTCAGGTATCAAGTTATTTTAAAGGACATCTTATACTTCTGCTTCAGCATCTGCTTTTCATCCTTGAAAATGATATCCTGGGACTTTGATAATTTTCAGTTCAAATTAGCTAGGTCATGCTTTTCTGAATTGATTCATACTAATTGTAGTCTATTAACCATGAGGATTATCAATTCAGGATTTGTTTTTTGCCTATGTCAAATATTTATGTATTAAATGTTGTGTTAGGCATTGTAGGGGGATACAAAAATAATGTATCCCTATAAAATCTGAGCTGGAAAAAATCTTGGAAGTCATTTGTTGTAATGTATTTTTGAACAGAAGCCAAGACCTCCAAGAGTCTTGGGTCATCCCAGGCCCTAGAACCAGCTTGTTTTGTTCTTGAGTGGCTCTAATTTTGAGGTGCATTCTTTTTAAAAATTCAAACCAAAAGTGTAATTTATTAAAATTTTGACTTGTTACTTATAATTTTTCCTCTGTGCCACCAAAATAAATCTAAGCTGTTTTTCTGTATGACTATCTTGCAGATGCTTGACATCGAATTTTCATTTAAATCTTTTCTCCAGATTAAACATTTATTCTAATTATGGTATGGTATGATACCTCTAGTCTTATAGTCTTGGCCACTCTCCTGAACAGGTTCCAGTTTCTCAATGTTCTTCCTAAAACATGATGTCCAGTATTGAATAATAAATATAGCCTTGTTAGGGCAAAGCATAGCAGGGTATAATTTCCCTCATTCTGGGTGTTGTATCACTTAAAACAGCCTAGTATCATTAGCTTTTTTGGTTGCCATATCACACTGTTGACTCACTAAAGTCCACTAAAGTTAAGTTCACTATAACTGCCATATCTTTTCAGACTGATTCTTACTGAGCCACTTACTGTATCTTGTCCTAATGTAATTGAAGTGTTTTAACCAGCCTGTAGATATAATACATATAAATTTCTAGATTTCATCTTAAGATATTTTACCTCTAGAGCTTTTTAGATTCTAATCTGGCCATCCAATTTCTTAGCTGTCACTTCCTGCATTTTATCATCCACAAACTTTCCCATTTAAGTAGAAATGCTCACAATTTTCATGAGATCTGAATGTTTATGCAGCTATATTGGCTGTGCGGCTGTTCTGGCTATTCTTACCACATTGACAAATTTCAAACGATTTTATGGAGATTTATTAAAAAAAAAAAGGTCTTTAAGTGTTTCAAATGTTAGGTTGCGTTAATGAAAGTTTTTGTTAGTGTTGCTGAAATGTTTTTGGGTTAATAAGGAGTTCTTTACCTGATTGGAGAAAAATATTTCAGTGATTATTGTAGCAAGGATCTTTGAAGTTGCCTTTTAAACCAATAGAAAAAGAGACTGTCAGCAGTATAATATCCTCTAGAGACTGTATGTGCATAGTATATATGTCGCTTCTAAATATTGAAAGGAAAAAGAAAACCTTTGCTGTAATACTGTTTAACAGGTCCTAGGAATAGGCAAAAGTTGACATTGTCTTTTTCCTTAAAGATTTTACAGTTAGGAAAAAATAAAAACACACATAAAACAGTCTTGAGTAATAGTAGATAGTATGGAATTAAGTTGAGCACTAAACCTAGTTTGGAATCCTCTTCCTACCACTTTTTAATTATTAATTTGTGCAAATCATAATATCTACTCCTGAATTTGCTTGTCTATAAAATGAGGGTTGGACTATTTGACGTCTGAGGGCCTTTCTAGCACTAATATGTTTTTCTGAGAGGCAGCATGACAGTCCCATGTTTGGAGTCAAGAAAACCTAGGTTCAAATACTACCTCTTATACTTACTAGCTATGTGATTGTGGTGTGTATGGAGTGTTCAGGGAGTACTAGCACCTTTGGTGTGAGCTTGCTGAGCCCTTTCCAGGGCAGCTTATCTACCTTTGTTGTCCACCTGGCATTCAGCTTTCACCTGTGGCTCCAAGAAATTGTAGCTGCACAACAGCCACACCACAGTGATGGGCTAAACAAGGTTGAGGGTAACTGACAGGCCTCCACCCTATTTGAGTTAGGAGGATGTCTACCCCAAGTAAATGAAGAATTCCTCTGACTGAATGGGCAGATGAGAACAATTGATAATCCTCATCGTTTATAGAATATGATTAGTATGAATCAATTCAAAAAAGAATGTCTAGCTAATCTGAACTGAAAATTATCAGTGTCCCAGATTTTCAAAGCTGAAAAGCAGATCCTGAAGCAGAAGTATAAGGTGTCCTTTGAAATAATTTTCCATGAAGGTGGATGAAGTAGGTGCTATGGAGCATTTAGAGCTTAGGCAGACATTGAAGATGCCAAGGTCATCTATTGCATTCTGGGCCGTAACCAGTCATCTTGACTTTTGTCTTGCCACTGGACTTTGATGATTCTGGAGGAGAGAATGAGGCTGACGATTTTGTGCAACTCTGCCTCACTTAAATCCAGTCCACGCACAAGTCAAGACATCACCCTGTGATATCATTGGCCCTCTTCAAAAATGAAAGATAAACATGTGATTATGGACAAGTTATTTAACTTCTGTGTGCCCAAGCAATTCACTAAGACTTGTCTACTAAGTCATAATTCAGTTGCCCATGCTTACAAGATATTGATTGTTTGTCCAAATATCTTTGTGTGTGTGTGTATGTGTGTGTGTGTGTGTGTGTACACAATTTAGGGACATTCTTAATTTCTCTAGAGACTTTTTTTTTTCAAGGAGAAGACTGAAAAATTGAGGTTATAAAATTCTATTCTACTCTTAGGTGTTTCCTGTTTTGATGAAACATACTCTCTTAAAGCACATGTGCTTTAAGAATTCAAAATTGAGCGAGATCGGTGAGGGCTGGAATAGTTAAAGCAGTGGTCTTCAAACTTTTTAATTGTGCATCTCATCAATAAAACAAATTTTGAACATATGCTCCTAATGAGGTATATATAAGACCTAGTGGGTATGTATTTGTCAATTCTATACTACTATTCTAATATATTGTGTGCATTATAAAACATACACAAAAAGGAGAAAATTTTAAAAGGATTATGTTTTGGGCTGAGCCTGACTCAGATCAGTCACTTGGTAGTTTGTATGATAATGGAACAACATGAGATACTTACAGGTTATTCAGCAATGGTATAGGGCATATTTATTTCTTAAGTATTTTATTGAATTCACTTAATTCACCTGGACCAGAAGGACCAGGAGTTTTTTCCTTTGGAAGTTCCTTGTTGGCTTGCATAGTTTTTCTTGCTGGGTTGGGTTCTTCTAGAGTTTTTTTAATTCCCTGCTTCTTAATTTGGAAGTTTTATATTTTCATGACCATCTATTTCATTTAAGTTATCAAGTTTGTTGGCATATTATTGGGTATAGTAGAGTCTGATTATTTTATTTCCTTCCCATTAATTTTCGTTTCCTGCTTATCTTTTATCTGGGTAATTTGATTTTCCTATATTTTGATGAAATTAGCTAGTGGGCTATAGATTTTTATTGATCTTATTAAAATTGTATCTCTTTGATTTTCAAGTTTCTAGTTTTGTACTCCCTCCCCCCCCCACCCTCCAGTTTTTCACCTTCTTCAAATCATGGTGACTGTTGAATGATTTAGAACCCAGGTCATTTTCTATTCTTTTTCAAGAAAGTTAGCACTTGGAGGCAGCTCGGTGGCACAGCGGATAGAGTGCTGGCCCTGGAGTCAGGAGGACCTGAGTTCAAATTTGGCCTCAGACACATAATACTCACTAGCTGTGTGACTCCGGGCAATCACTTAATCCCAATTGCCTAACCAAAAAAAAAAAAGGAAAAGAAAGAAAGGAAGTTAGCACTTGACTCACTGTCTTGCTTTTTTTCCCAATTCCTCTTATATTAGCATATTTTAACATCCATATTGATGCTACTTCTAACCCTTAATTCCTTAAAACCCAAGACTTACACCTTTATTATACCTCAGCCACACAGGGGCAGCCACGTCCATGATCAGAAACTTTGACTTTCCTGTCTCTGACCAAAACCTCCTGTCATTCTATTTGTAGACCTCTTCTGCACCCTCATCAGTACCTCTAATGTCTCTAGTCCCTCAGTACTTTCCTAGGCCTGGATTACTCCCACTAATGTGCTAAATAAAGCAATCATTTTATACCTCCTAATTGATTTCCTGCCTCACTCTCCACAGAAATTATTCCAAACACTTTCTTCTCTATTCAAGCTTCACATTTCCCCTCTTCCTTCTCACTCAGCTAAGCACCTTGATTCTTTCTTTCTTAGTAAATTGAAGATGTTCCCTATGAGGCCCCCCCCTTTTTTCCCTCTTTTTAATTTGTTGGTTTTGTTCATGTCTGAAAGAGTAATGCTGATGTTGCTTACAATTCATTTCTCACTATTTACTAAGTCTTATTTTTTCATTCGTTATCTATTCCCTTAAAGTATTCAGATACTTTGACATTCTGTATGTATTTAATATCAGTTTGGTTGGATATGGTGCCTTAAGCAAATTGTAGTTTCCTTCTCTGTCATTAAGTGTTTTTTTATTGTTGCTATATCAGAAATTGATTGAGGTGCCTGCTTTTTTGTATTGAGCATACTAAAATTTATTACATTCCTTGTTTTTTAAGTGTACTTTTTATATTCAACAAATTATTAGATTTTCTTATCCATTCTGCTACCCTTTTCCATTTTGTGGTATGATTTTTTCCTTCCATCACATCTGTTTTATTATTTTTTTATTTAAAAAATAAATCAACACTAGGTGGTATAGTGGATAGAATGCCAGACCAGGAGTCACAGAAGACTCATCTACTTAAGTTCAAATCTGGCCTCAGATACTTAACTAGCTGTGTAACCCCAGGCAGGTCACTTAACCCTGTTTGCCTTAGTTTCCTCATCTGTAAAATGAGCTAGCAAAGGAAATGACAAACCATTCCAGTGTCTTTGCCAAAAAAAAAACAAAACCCAAATGGGGTCACAGAGTTGGACGTAACTCAACAACAACAAGAAGTTACTTGTGGTTTGTTTTACTTTAAAGGATCCAATCTCAACCGCTTCTCCAAAAGCCATCCTTTTCTCTTATTCTGCTTTCTGTTTCTTGCTTAGCTTTGGCTTGTTTACTTTAATCAAAGGCATGCAGACAGGAGGAATTTGTCAGTACAAAGAGATAGATCCTACTCGTTATGGAAGAGTTAGATTATACCCCAGACACAAGTGTTGAAAAAGGTAGAGCTAGATCATTTCTAGATCCTTACTTGACCAGTCCCAAAACTTTTTTATCACTGTGTTTTTTAGATTTGCCTTTCTCCAGTAAGATTAAAGTTCATCCTGCTTCTTTGTTTGAATAATCTTACCCTGTGGCACTTCGATTTTGAAAAATACCCTGTCACTTCATTTTCCTTTCACCTCTGCCTCAAGGGTACTTCTCCCAGAACACCCAAACCCAGAGCTGTTGTCTTCTTGTTCCCTCAGAGACCTTCAAACAAGCCTTGTCACTTTGCAACATGTTTGCACTGGTTTAAGGAGAATAAAAAGGAAATGATCAAAATGGAAGCAGCAAAATATTCTTACTTAAAATTCCTCTAAAATATTAGAGATTTTCCTTGGAAGATTCATTCATTTTCAGATCTTCTAACTACTGCCTACATCTATCCTCTTAACTCCCAGATTATTACTCTCATAAGAGTCTGTCTCCAAATTTCGAAATGTCTGCTAGCCATTTTCTCCCTTTGAACTCTTTAGGCAATTTCAATCAAAAGTAAATATATCTTCCCTCTAAAACCAACTTGCGCTCCCAATTTTCCTATTTCTATCAAAGGTATCACTGTTGGCTCCAGTCACCCTAGCCTAAAATCTTTAACTCATGCTGATGCTTCATGTCTTTCATTCATTTGCTTTTTAAAAAATGCATTCATTGATTGCCTACTCTGTCCACAGTAATATACAGGTAATAAGTGGGACAAAAAGGGATCGTAATAGGCATCAAAATAACTTGATTCTTCTGTCTTCAGATTAATATTAAATTTCATGGTTCATGTAGTGAATTTTACTTATCTAGGGTACTTGCCTTCACTTGAGCAAATGGCATGCTATGTTCCCTGTTTAATATTTAATTTTTTTTCTTTAGATGACAATTGGAAAATAAAAGGCAGAGACCCATCTTTGGTTGTAGCTTTCATCTGTAAGGTAAATTATATTTTATTCAGAGAGATTTTTTGAGCTCTGGTAACTATTAAGTGAAATTCCTACCCAAGTTCCTCCTGGGTGGTAGTTATGATGCTGATATGTTTGAGATTCACTAGTACCTAGCACATTTTTCCCTCAGTAATTTGATGAGAGAGACTTTCAAGTAGTTTTAATTTAAAAGGAACACAAATGCCCTATTGAATGTTAAGAATATAAAGGTCTGTTTTGCTTCATTAGATCTGTCAGTACTATATTAAAACCTGTTTAATTCTGTAAGTCTTGGTGATTTTAATCCCCACAGAACGCAGTTTTACTGTATAAACAGTGTTATAAGTGGTGGTTAGGTTCTGGGGATTAGCCTGAGAATCTGAGAACCACTTATAAAACATTTTTAAATAATAAGCATTATTACTTCCCTGACTTTTCAAAAAAATTATAATTTATTTAAAGTTTTGAGTTCCTCCTCTGCCTCCCTCCCATCCCCTCCCCACCCACTCAGAAGGATAAATAATATTATGTAGTTATACATGTGAAATCATGTAAAATGTAATTCCGTATTTGCCATATCCCAAAAAAAAAGCGAAAAAGAAAGTGAGAAAAATATACTTCAATTTGCACTCCGAGTTGATCATTACAGCAGTACTGTGCACAATGATCTCCGGGTTCTTCTCACTTCTTTTTGTATCAGTTCATATAGGTCTTATGATTTTTCTGAAACCATCCTCCTTTGTCAATTCTTAGAACACAATAGTACTTCATCACAATCATATACCACAACTTGTTCAGCCATTCCCCAATTGATGAGTTTGTCACCACTAAAAGAGCTGCTATAAATGTTTACAAACATATAGGGCCTTTTCCCTATATTTTTGATCTCTTTGGGATACAGACCTAGTTAAGTGGTTATTGCCGGGTCAGAGGGTATTCACAGTTTTATAGCCCTTTGCAAATAGTTCCATATTGTTCCCCAGGATGGTTGGAGCAGTTCACAACTCCAACAGCAGTTCATTAGTGTACCTATTTTCCCTCATCCCCTCCAGCATTTCTGATAGGTGTGAGGTGGTACCTCAGAATTGTTTTGTCTTTCTCTAATCAGTCGTGATTTAGAACATTTTTTCGTATCACTGTGGATAGATAGCTTTGATTCCTTCTAAAACTGCCTTTTCATATCCTTTGACCATTTATCAATTGGGGAGTGGCTCTTATTTTTATAAATTTGACTAAATTGTCTTTTGAGAAATGAGGCCTTAATCAGAAAAAACTTACTGTAAAATTTTTTGATATTGCTTCATTGTCTGTGGTGATTGTGGCTGTTGTTCAGTTGTGTCCAACTTTTCATGACCCCTGGACCATACTTGCCAGGACTTTCTATGCTCCACTATCTCAGGAAGTTTGTCCAAGTTCATGTTTCTGGTTTCCATCATGCTATCTATCCATTTCATTCTCTGCCATCCCCTTTTCCTTTTGCCTTCAATCTTTCCCAGCTTCAGAGTCTTTTCCACTGAATTCTGTCTTCTCGTTATGTGACCAAAGTATTTAAACTTCAGCTTTAGTATTTGACCTTCCAGTGGATAGCCTGAATTAATTTCTTTAAGTATGTACAGATTTGATCTCCTGCTGTCCAAGGGACTCTCAAAAGTCTTCTCTAGCACCACAATTTGAAAGTATCAATTTTGTGTTGCTCAGCTATCCTTATAGTCTAACTCTCACAGCCTTTTTGACTGGAAAAGCCATTGCTTTGAATATAAGGACCTTTGTCAGCAAAGTGCTATCGCTGCTTTTTAGTATGCTATCCAAATTTGGCATAGCTTTTGTTCCAAGGGGCAAGTATTTTTTAAATTCATGACTGCAGTCACCATCTTCAGTGATCTTTGAGTCCAAGAATATAAAATCTAACAGTTTCCATTTCTTCTCTCTCTGTTTACCAGGAAGTGATGGAGCCTGTTGCCAAGATCTTTGTTTTTTTGATGTTAAACTTCAAGCAGGCTTTTGCACTCTCCTCTTTTATGTAAACTTCATCAAAAGGTTTCTTAATTCCTTTTCACTTTCTGCCCTCAGAGTGGTACCATCTGCACGTCTGAGATTGTTGATAGTACTTCTTAACAAGCTGTACTTTGCTTGATTATCACTCTTAATTGGGGCTATTTTTGCTTTGTTTTTGTCTGAGATCATGATTGCTACCCCTGCTTTTTTACTTTTGCTGAAGCATAATAGATTCTCCTGTATCTCTTTATTTTAACTGAGTGTGTATCTCTTGTAAACAACATATTGTTGGATTTTGGTTTCTAATCCATTTTCTGCTTCTGTTTTATGGATAAGCTCATCCCATTCACAGTTATGATTACTATTTATTTCCCTCCATTCTGTTTTCTTCTGTTTGTCCTTTTTTTATCCTGTCTCTCCTGAAAAGTCTGTTTTGCTTCTGACTCTCTTAATCCACCCTCCCTTTTATCATTCTCTTCCCATCCCCACCCCACCCCAGTATCTCTCATTCCTTTCCCTTCCTAATTCCCTGTTGTGTGAGATAGATTTCTATGCCCAACTGGTGTGTGTATGTGTGTGTGTGTTCTTCTTTCTTTGAACCAAATCTGATGAGAGTGAGGTCCTGACATTTTCTGCCACCTCCTCTCCCAGTTTCCTCTCCCTTATATAAAAGCTGTCCCTTGAACACCTCTTTTATGTGAGAAAATTTTCCCCATTCTGCCTCTTCTTTCCCACCTTTCCCGAGTGCATCTCTCCTTCTCACCCTTCATTTTTTTTTCTTTTTTTGTGCTATTGTTTTCAGAGCTATTTCTGGGGTCTGCAAGTTTTTAGTTCTTCCAAGTTGATGGTATCCTGGGAGAACTTTGGTCACTGCTCTCCTGGTCTTCGCTCTGGTCTTTGCCAGGAAGGGCCCCTGTTCCCCTTCAGCTGTAACTACTAGTGCTCCTCTTGACCCTGGAACTGTGACCAGGGTCCCTGCTCCCTTGTGACTGATCACAAGTGATCCTTTCCTTCCTAGAACTGTAACTCAGAACTGCTTATGGGCAGTAGAGTTGTAATCAATGCCAGCTGCATCCATTGCCAACAAAGAGTCCCCTTGTAATCTATGACCAGTTTTCTAATCTCTGGGCCAAGAGCTTCCAAAGCTGCTGCATCAGTTGCATTCATTCTCCTGGTGCACTCTGGAGCTGGACCCACTCCACTGTTACCTCTCCTGCATACCTTTTAATTTGTCTTAGGCTGGAAAAATGTCTTCCTCTGACCTTTTGTTGGCTTTGCCACTCTAAAATTTGATTTAAGGCCTTATTTTAAAATTATTTAGAATTCAGCTGAGTTCCAGCTTGTACTTCACCCCATTTGAGAAAGAAAAACAACCCCTATTTCAACTGTGTATGGTCAAACAAAACTAATTTGCAAATTTCCACATTGGTCATGCCCTGTGCTGCGCCGCACTGCACCGCGCTGCCCGCCCCCCCCCCAGCAATGTTGCATTCTGAGTCCTTTACTTCAATCAGGAGGTGAGTAGCATATTTGTCATGAGTTTTCAGGAATCATGGTTGATCATTAGACTGATTAAAGTTGTTTGTTTTTAAATGTTATTATCATAAATTATTCTCCTGATTCTGTTCACTTCACTGCATCAGTTCATATAAGTGTCTTTCAAACTGTCAAAGGACAAAATGTCCTTTGTCATTTCTTATAACACAAGAATATTACATCTAATTTATATAACATTCCCCAATTTATGGGCACCCTCTCAGTTTCCAATTCTTTGCTACCTCAAAAAGAGACATAAATATTTTTGTATGTCCTTATTTAGAGTTTGTTTTGCTTAGGACAAATCCGTCCCTTAATCTACATTTCCTTTTATCCTCTCTTCTCTACTCTTCCTCCTGTTTCCCTGTTGAGTGACCAGTTCGGATGAGAGTGAAGTTCAAGTGTCAGCTGCTTCACCCATCTTTTCCTCCTTGTCTGTATACTCTTCTACTTGTGTACCCCAATTATGTAAGATAATTTTCCCTTTCCTCTCCATCCCTCCCTTTAGTATATTCCTATTTTCTCTTCATTTAAATTCTTTTAAGATCAACAAATCTTAGTAGAATAACTCCCAGGTCTTTTTTTCAATTAGTGTGACTTCTGATGATTAATAGGACATCACATATATCACCTCCCTATAATTATGTATGTGTATATATAATATATAGTTATATAGCTATATATCTCCCTGTAGTATATATCACATATATCAGCTTCTCATATTAGAATGTAAACTGTATATACTTGTTTAGTTCCTTATGATTGTTCATTCATGTTTCATCTTGTTAAGCTTTTCTTGACTCCTTTTGTATTTCAAATGTTTTACTAGCTCTGGTCTTCAGCAAGAATGCTTTGAAGTCCTATATTTCTTTAAAGGTTCATTTTTCCCTGGTAGGATTATACTCAGTTTTGCTCGTTAATTTATTCTTGGTTGTAAGCTTAGATCTTTTGCCTTCTGGAATATCATGTTCCAAGCTTTCTGTTAATTGTGTTGATCCTAACCGTGGCTCTTAGGTACTTAGTACTATCGTATTTTTGGGGGGGCTATAATTTTCCTGGGAGTTTTCATTTTGAGGTTTTTTCTTTGGCTCTAAGAGATCTGAGCATTTTCTTTTATGCTTTCTTGAAGTATGATATCTATTCTCCCTTTTTTTCATGTCTTTCAGGTAATTCTAATGATTCTTAAGTTATTTCTCCTTGATCTGTTTTCCAGTTTAGCTGTGGGATACCTCACATTTTCTTTTTTTCTCCTCAGTCCTTTGACCTTATTTTAATAATTCTTGTCTCATGAATTCATTAGTTTCTTTTTGGTCTATTCTGATTTTCAGGGAGCTTTTTGCTTGAGCAACGAATCAGATGTACCAAACTTTTGTGGCAAGCTTTTAATTCCCTTTCTTATTTTTTTCTTCTCTGGTTATCTTTTCTTTTCCATTTTTTTCTTTAGCATCCTGATTTCTTCTATAAAAACGTTTTTGACTTTGTGTTAACATTTCATCTCTTCCAGGAATTCTGGTTGAATTTTTGATCATGCTTTCTTTTTCTTTGAGATTTTGCTTGTAGATGTTTTGATTGTATTATCTTCTGAGTTTGTGTCTTGAAAGTCTGTCACTGTAACAGCTTTTTATGGTGGGATTTTTCTTTTTCTTTTCTTTTCTTTTTTTTTTTGCTCATTTATCTTGCTGCCTTCCTGACTTTGGACTTCATGTTAGAGCTAGGCTCTGAGTACTTATGGAGGGAAGGTCTAGACTGGTCCTGTTGCTGCTTTCTTGGATATTGAGTGTTATATTGTTCCAGGATCTCAGGAACACCTCAGACTGGGAACCTGCAAACCTTCAGTGTTCCCAGAGTAGTCTGATGTAGAGTAAAGTTTGGTCACTCCCCTTCCCCCACCTCTGGTCTGAGCACTGTAGGATCCTGACCTGGGTTTGATTCTGAGCAACAGGACTGTAGGCCTGCTCCATTTGGAGTTTTAGTAGATTGCTTTGGCCTTAGAAACTGTTAGTCAGGTGGAAAACTCTTCTGATTCAGGATGGCAGAACTAAAGTTTACCCTTAGTTCGGAGTTCCATCCCTGGTTACTCCTCTGTAGGATTGAGAGTGGATTATAAGCTAAAAAGTGAGTCTCCACTCTTCTCCTGGGATCTGAGCTTCAGAGCTTCTGCTTAATTTCTAAACGTATCATTTGTTCAGTACATCTGTGACCCAGAACTGGGTAATAAGGTTATCTTATCATAAGGTTAAGCTCTTTTATGCTTTATCTGAGACCTCTTCTTGCATTGATCCACAACCTTTCCCTACACTGGAATGCTCCATGTGGTATACTCCTGGCCAGACTCTGTCCACGCTGTCTACATATTTGTCTGTTCTGTCTCTCTCTGTGTTGACATGGACTGGAAAAATAACTGTTTCATTTTTCTTCCTTGGAATTCCTAATCAGTTTATGGTCTAATATGTTTTCTAGATTTGTTTAGATTATTTCCTGGGGACAGAGGAGGGAGTTGGGAAGGGATGAGGAATGGGTTTTGAAGTTTGCTATACTTCGTCTTGCTACTCTTAGGCTATATTTAGTGACTTTAAAATTGAAACTTATTTCTCTGAATTAAAAATAATGTGTGTTTTCAGGCAAGAATGGGATTTTCTCTAACATAATTGATTAAAAGCAACTCTTCCCTGGTTTCTCACTTTTCATATTCAACTTCTACTTGCAGCTTCACATGAAACAAGGAAGTTTTTTGGTGCTCAAAGCAAAAGATCTGGGGCTCCCAGTGTAAGTAGAGGGGAGAGAAGATGATGTGGGGAGCATATGCTGGGCATTTGCTCGTAGAACTAACTAGATGTGACATGAAAATTTTGTTTTTTACTTTTAGTGGTACATCTGCCATTGCACCTATAATTGCTGCTGTCAAGGCTGGGAAAAGTGTCACTTATGAAGGAAAAGAGGTAAGACTGGGATTTTATGAGCTCAGGGCAATTGGCAGAGTTTAGAAGTGAGGCATAGAATTTTAGTCCTGGCTCTGGGCAAGGACCTTATGATCATGTCAGAATAGTTCACATTTTTTTCACTCAGCCCTGTGACATAAAAGGATATATAATCCACATTTTTCTTACTGATCGCCAATTTTCGACCATTTTGATTAGTATAATACTATCTGGTGTCATATTAAGTTTACTAACTTTGTTAACATATTGGTTGAATTATTTTTCTCCTCTAAATTTTAGTGTAGCTGAATAGCAGTTGTAATCAGATAAATATTCAGTCATCTCCTCCACAAGTACTTCTGATGAAATTGCATTTTGCCTAAGTAATTAAAATTCTAGATCTATCCTCTATGGTGGAGTTCTCTAAGTAAGTGGGAGGTTGCTGCAGAAATAGGGCTAGGTATATAAAGATATAGGTATATAAACCTGACCTAATAGGTCAGGTATGTATTGACTCCAAGGAAGTGCAGCATCCTGGGCCCTGCACCTCTAAGCTCCAAACTTTTCAAATATAGAATTATTAAGGATTAAGTTACTAGATGGGTAGAAAAGATTTACAAACTTAACAGAGAAGACATATATATATCATTAGTTATAGAATAAAGAGGTGATTTTTCATGAAGCTAATTTTATTTTCTTGTATAACTCAACCTAAAGTATCTGCAAACTCTACATCTAAGATGTTGGACAAGAATATTTTTACAGTGTCATGGAAGCTGAGTTGAAGACTTTTGATTGTTGGCTTTGAGGGGTTATATATTAGTCCTTATGTATCCTTCAGACATTTTCAAACCAAATGCCCCTTGTTGCTATTGTTTCACTGTTTATATTTTCATTGTATTTTGTAGATTTTGCCAGAAGAGGTTTGCAGCCCTCCAGATCCTGGCTCTGTTTTTATTGTGGTGGAATGTCCTGACCAAGGATTTGTAGAACCGATCTGTGAAAATGACACCTTCCGGAGGTATGGAAATCTCTGGCCTTAGCTGAGTGAGAAACTACATTGGGTTAACACAGTACCAAATACAATTTTTTTTTTTTACCTTGCCTATGATATCATCAATTTCCTGGCAAGGAAATTACATTTTCCATGAAGATCAAACAACTGTTCTGTAGCTTGTGGTTTTCCAAGAGAACTTGTCAGAGGCAGTACTTGAACCTGAGCTTCTGAATTATGCGCTGCTGCATCACAAATTAATCCTTTTTGGGGCAGTTAGGTGGTGCAGTGGATAGAGCAGTGGCCTTGAAGTCAGGAGGACCTGAGTTCAAATCTGGTCTCAGACCAAACCCTTGACACTTACTAGCTGTGTGACCCTGGGCAAGACATTTAACCCCAATTGCCTAAAAAAAACCAAACAAACACATTAATCCTTTTTAAAGGATCAATCAAAATAGAAGTGATTGTCTTTACTTCAGGGGATCTGTTATCCAAAATAATTTTTTAAAAATTGTAGTTTAGTCGACCATTTTTTACTGCATCTACAAGGGAACATTTTCACATACCCATTGAAAAACCGAGATTAAAAAATCTTCTATCGGGATTAGACAGGTAGTAATCATCTTTAATGTATGGTATGCATTTAAAATAGTAATAGAAAATCAGAGATTCTTCTTTCCCGCAGTAGACTAGAAATTTTACAGTTGACTGTAATGCAGACTTTTTTTTTTATTAAGGCAATTGGGGTTAAGTGACTTGCCCAGGGTCACCCAGCTAGTAAGTATCAAATGTTTGGTCTGAGACTGAATTTGAACTCAGGTCCTCCTGACTTCAGGGCTGGTGCTCTTTCTACTAGTGCAGACATTTTAAAACAACCATCAGATCCTTTTTTGATTTGTTATTGATTGTTACCTATGTTTACTATCTTATAGTTGCCTATCTGGAAACTCAAGGAACTAATTTAGCTTGTGTTGGCCTGATAGAAGCATAGTGCTTAGGTGATTTATAGATCTTCTATAATAGGATAAGATTGCTATTGTCTGAACTGGTGTTTTAAACAGATTATCTAATTATTACTTAATAGATTATTACTAGACTTGTTCATGTTGAAAAGCAGGGCAGAAATAGAGTTTCTGTTCTACCCTCTATCTTTCTTGTATTTTGGGTAGTGAGGAAGAAGAATGCTTATAGCATTGACTTGTTCCTTTTTGGACCCATGTTATGGATTTACCCACCAAGTCGTCATTCAAGGTCAGGGATTCACTTGAGATAAACTTCTTGAAAACTATAAAATTGGACAACTTAGGAAACAGTGTGATGGATGCAGAAGAGGATTTTATGTAGGAGACAGTATTCCTTTTAGGGAAACTCCCTGGGTTTTACTTGGCATTTCTGTTGAGCATATTTAGATGGTTGGTAACAAAAATCTCTGCTGAGTAGTAGGTAGCAAAATTGACTCAAGTTAGCTAGTTCACAGCGAAATTTGATTTTCTCTGATCCCAGTTGAGTGCCACATATACTTGTTAGGCTGTTTTCATTAAATTATTACTAATTTCAGGTATCAAGGGGAAAAGGCTGAGGCTCATGTGGCGGTGGTTGTTCACATGACTCCAGAATCAATATTGAAGGATAACAGATACCAGCAGTGGATGGAAAGGTATGTGACAAGACACAGCAAAGTAGCTTTTGTGTGCTGAGACTCACAGACTATCAGAATTGGAAGACATGAGTTACCTGATCTAACCAGCTGATTTTTCAGATCTGGAAACAGGCCTAGAGAAATTAATACTGTTAATAATGTATAGAGAGAGATGTATATTTCTATATTTCTATATTGATATCTATCTATCTATGTGTTTGTGGGCCTTTCCCTGCAACACGCACACACACACACACCCACGTAAAGTGTTTTTTACATAATGTGAAATTTGCCCATGGAGGACTGGACGTGGACACAGATAGGAGAGATCATCCCTCCTGAGGGGGTAGGGAACAGATGTGTTATCTGAGTGAAGTTGGGGGAAAGACAGGCTCAGGTTAGGTAGAGTGGGGAAAAGTCTCGTTTTTCATCACTGGAGGTCTCAAGACAAGCTCCCAATCTGGCTGTGCAGGTGGTCTTTCTGGGCTTCCATTGTTTTGCTTTAACTTGGAGGTTTAGGATTTGTTTGTTTTTTTAGGGTTTTGGGTTTGGTGGTTTTGGGGGTTTTTTTGTGTGTTTTTTGGTTTGTTTGTTTGTTTTTTTGGTTTGGGGAAAGGTGGGAGGCAATAGAGCCACTGAGCCAAGGGGCAGGGGTGAAGAGAGCACGGTACTTATTTTAGAGTAAAGTTAACATAGATGATTTTTTTGAATGTGGATTTCTTTCAGAATTCTTTATATAAAGAATTTGTATAATGCAAATTTAAGCACAAGCAAGCTGTCTTTATGTGTATATACATAGATATGTGTGGGGTATATGTGTATGTATATATGTGTATCTTTTATATATTTTGTTTTTAATTTTTAATATCTTCATTTCCTCATACATATGTTTCTCCTCCCTCTACCCATTGAACTATCCCTTGTAACAAAGAATGAGGAAAAAAAGCACTTCAGCAAAATTAATCATCAGTTGATTCTGACACCATATGCAGTGTTCTACAAACATCGTTCCTCATCTCTGCAAAATTATATTTAAACAGCACTTGGTTTTATTTATCAGTTCATATAAATCTTCCCCTTACTTCAGGGTAACATTTGAAATGTTTCATTTTGTAGAAATCTGTTTAAAATTATTTAACTATTCTCTGCATAGAGAAAACTCCACTAAATGATCCTCCTTGTGGCAGGGTGGTAAACCTGGATTTTGGAGTTGTATCGGCTGAGTTCAGTCTAGCAGGTTTTCCTAAGCTGTATAGCCTTTAAGTGTAGGTAGCTATGTTGAGAGAGACTCTTTTTTTTAATCTAAAATAACTTTTGAAGAATGGCTACTAAGTAATAGCTGAGTGGTAATCTATTTAAGTATAAGTAGTGTATACATCAAGGGAATCATGAATATTTCAAGTTATAAATACAATTAAATCCCTCTTCTCATGAACTCAGAATTTGAAGAGACCTCAGAGGTATCCAGTTTCAAAAACTTACAGAATTTAGAGTAGGGAGAGACTTCAGCAGCCATTTAGGTTGATGATACACATAGGAAATCCCTACTATTACATATCTAACAAGTCTCCTGCCTCTGCTTGAAGACTTCCAAAGAATCAGAATCCTCTAGCTCTTTTTATTCTACTTTTGAACAACTTGAATTGTTAAGAAATTTTTTTTCTGACATTAACCCTAAATTTGCCTTTTTGCATCTTGGCTCTATGATTCTTACTTCTGCCCTCTGGGGGACGAACAAAAAAAGTCCAATCTTTCTTCTGCATAATAAACCTTCAAATGTTTGAAGACAGCCCTCATGTCTTACCAAATCTTCTCTTCTTCAGACTAAATACACTTAATTCTTTCAACCAATACTCATATGAAGGGGACTCAAGGGTGTTCATTATTCTGGTTGCTCTCTTCTAGATTCTCTTCAGCTTATCCTCTCCTTAAATCATAGTCCTTGGAATTGAACACAATAAGCCAGGTGAAGTTTGCTGAAGGCACAGTACAATGAGATGATCACCTCAAATTACATTAGCTTTTTGGCTGCCAGTTACACTGCTAATTTGTATTAAGCTTTTAGTCAACTAAAACCTCTAGATCTTTTTCAGAACAAATGTTGTTTCCCTTATCATACACTTGTGATTTTTTTTTAATGTGAAAGATTTTACTTTTATTCCTTCACCTTATTAGATTTATCCCAGTTCTTTAGCCTAAGATCATTGTGTATCCTGAATTTTATCCATTGTGTGAACTATACCGTCAGCATTGTGTCATCTGCAAATTTGATGAGCGTGCTAAATCATTGTTAAGCATAACACAATCAATACAGGATCAAGCATGGGTCCCTGGGGTACTTCACTAGAGAGCTCCTATCTTGTTGATATTGTCAAACCATTTCTGATCAATTGTGAGGTGGTGTTTTAATTTTTTAATTTGCATTTCTTTAATCTGTAGTAATTTAGAGCATTTTTTTATATGACTATAGATAGCTTTCATTTCTTCTTCTGAAAACTATCTCTTTCTATCCTTTGACCATTTATCAGTTGGGGAATGGCTCTTATTTATAAATATTTGAGAAAAGAAGCCTTTATTAGAGAGACTTCTGTAAATATTTTGACATTAATCATAGTTGTTTTGATTTGCATTTCTCTAATCAATAGTGATTTAAAGCATTTTTTCATATGACTATAGATGGCTTTAATTTCTTCATCTGAGAACTGCCTGTTCATATCCTTTCACCATTTATCAATTAGGGAATGACCTGCATTCTTATAAATTTGACTTAATTCTCTATATGTTTTAGAAATGAGGCCCTTATCAGAGAGACTGGTTGTAAAAATTCTTTCCCAATTTTCTACCTTCAAGAAGGATATTTCTAAAGGAGATAGTCATATCCTAAGAGCTGAGCAAGGCAGACACAGGAAGGGCAGGATGCTTAGAAGGATAATTTCTGAGCCAACAGACCAAGACCTTTTGTTGATTTCAGGCCCACGTCGCCAAGACCTCAAGTATAAATAGTTCTAATAATTATGGAGAAATCAACTGCTATTTTATACTGAATCTGTGAAAAAAATGTTTTGTAACTTAAAATAATTTTCAGATGGAAAAAAATGGGAACATTACTACCTTTTACTGTTATCAGTGCAATTTTATATGTAAAACCCTTAATCCAATTTTGAGAACTTATTACTAAAATATAATCAAAGCCTGAATTTTCCGTGCTAGATACATTTGGAAGCCAGTCCTTGTCTACATGTGTGTATGTATACACACACACACACACACACACACACACACACACACACACTTGTATATAGTTCTTAGAGAAAACAGTCTAATCTTATTGTTTTCTCAAAATTTATTATTCCATTTAATTTGAAAACCTTTACATTACATTTTTGTCTTAATACTTCGTCTAATTTCCCCTGTAGGAGGAGATCATCTCTATATTATAATTTGACCACAAATACAGATTAAAATTGTAAGATTATTCATACTTGCGTCTTATCTTAATAACTCGAAGATGTTCCAGTATCAGGCTACTAATTAATAGATTTTGTATTGTTCTTACAAAACTTCTACTGTTTACCCACCCTGATTATAGAAACTTGCTATGAAAGGAAAAGGAGGGATGTAATTATAACAATATCCAGACTTGTCCCCTCACAGTCACAGCCTGATATACTATATACCATAACAAGGGAAAAACTCCCTTAGCTCTGTTTGATTCCAGGCATGAATCATATCTGACAACCATGTAATCAGAGGGTATCAGAAGCTGAGGATCAGGATTAACCAGGTTGGGAAATTTCCTGTTCAGAAAGGAAATAGCACAATGAGGAAACTGAGTCAAGAGGATTCTACCTTAGGCCATGCCAATGTCATCCCCTTAACTTTTTCCAGGGACAGACATCCACCTATAGCAGTTCTCAGACTGCAGCACATGCCATTTTCTACTATTGGCTTCATGACAATTCAGATAACCATCTCTGTAATCAAAACTTGAAGCAATAGTATATTATAGTCTCAAGAGTTTCAGGTAGCAAAATTTTACTAACTAAAACTTAGGGCCTAAAATACTATTAACTTCTCATGTTTCCCTAACAGTTACATTCCATTTATCCTTTACTTATAAATTAAAACTAACATTTTTCTGGGGTTTCAGACATACAGCAAATACCTGATAGTTGCTTCATTGATGTATTGAAGTTATATCTTTAAACCACCCTATACATTTTCATAAATGATAACCAAAAATTTTCTAAAAGAAAACTCACCCTTTATAGTAAACTTGCTATTATTGTTATCTGTTTTAAAACAAAATATACCTTATAGTTTTCAGGGCAGCTAGGTAGTGCAGTGGATGGAGCACCAGCTGTGGAGTCAGGAGGACCTGAATTCAAATCCAGCCTCAGACACTTGACACTTGCTAGGTGTGTGACCCTGGCCAAGTCACTTAACACCCCAATTGCCTCGCCAAAAATAAATAAATAAATATTTGAGTTTTCAAAAATCTATTTTTATCGCATTCTTTTAAAAATTCAATTATAATCTAACAGCATACAGATTTTTTAAAAGTTGTTTTTCTAGCAGCATTTCTGATAAAATGATTTCCCAAATTTCACAGTATAAAAGAATTTCAAAATGCAACAATAACTACAATATATCATGTATTTAAAACATGGGACAAAACTTATTACCAGTCGTATTATGTCAATTTAGCCAAATGCATTTCCAGATTGTCTTACATAGAAAATCATTAATCATATTACACTTGGCCTTTTATACTTATCACATTTAAAACCCAGTGTGCAATTCAAGAAAAAAAAATAATAGTTAACATTTATATAGTGCTTTTGTTGTTAAGTCATTTCTGTTGTGTCCAACTGTGATGTCGTTTGGGGTTTTCTTGGCAAAAGTATTGGAATAATTAGTCATTTCCTTCTTCAGCTCATTTTGCAGATGAAGAAACTGAGTCAGGATTAAGTGACTTGTCCAGGATCATATAGCTAGTCTGAGGCTGGATTTGAGTTTTTTTCCTACCTACCGATTTAGGCTTGGTGTAAAGAAAAGTTTGCACCTTATTCCTGTTCCCTCACTCCTTGTCTTCATTCTCTTCTTTCTCTTCCTAAAAATTAGAACTGAATAAAGATATAGGTTCTCATTTATCAGAGAAAAAGTTTAGATAACCGGTTGGGTATGTTGGAAAAGAGGTCCTGTTCAGGTGTAGGCTGGACTAGACTGACTCTGAAGTCCCTTCTGACTTTGAGATTCTATAATTCATCTAATTCCTAACCTTCCTTCAAGTCTGCTTTCTTCCATGAAATCTTGCCTTTGGTTCACTATTGAACGCTGATAAAAGTTATTCTTTTTTTTACCACTTATTTGGCATTTGGGTATGTATGGCCTGTCTCCCTGTAGAAATACCTTGAGGGAACCCTGTCCCCCATCTTACAGTGCCAACTCTTATGCCAGTGCCTTGCACCACAATAGGATATTGATATATATTTGGTTTATGGTGTCTATTAAGAAACGTGCTGCTGACTTCTGATATTTTAGACTTCTTTTGAATTCAGAATACCATGAGCCCTTTGAGTCAGAAATTATTAAAATTAGTGGTGAAATTGAACCAAGAGTAACTAAAGGTAACTAAACTAAAGAGTAACTAACCTAGTGCATTGGACTCCTATTTCATTGTTCTTTAACTCTTTACCTGTTTTTCTCCCGTTTCCTTTTTTGGTTCTTATTCTACCCTGTTCCCTCTGATCTCATCTTCTTCCTCTTATTTCCCTTCCTGAACATACTCTTTTACTCTTTGCTCTGTCTTCTTTCTCTTCTTATACCTTTCCTTCATACTCTAGGCTTCTTTTTTCACTTTGATTCCATCTCCCAGTGAGGTTACCCTTAATTATTTCTTCATTTTTCTTCTCCAGGTTTGGCCCCGAAACTCAGCATCTGGTCTTGAATGAGAATTGTACTTCTGTACACAATCTCCGTAGCCTTAAGATTCAAACTCAGCTCAACCTCATTGACTCAGACATATTTCCCCAGCTTACCAACTGTAATTGCAAGGTAGAATGTGTATTATTATTCTGTGTTAATTGGTTTTCTGGGGATTTTCTTCTTCTTATTCTATTTCTTTATCTTTTCCAGGAGGATCTGGCTACTTTCTCCCTGCCTGTAATCCGTGGTGAATGCCTCCTAAAGTACCAGCTTAGACCGAAACTACATTGGCAGAGGTATGTGATTCTGGAATCATCATACTGCCGAACTTTGAGTGGAGAGGTTGAGACCATTGTGCATTCCTGAATCTTTGAATTCCTGCTATTTGAAATTCTGCATAATAGTTTTGTCTTTATTAGAATAGTTTCTCTTTTTACACTTTCCTCTTCTTGGGGTGTTTTAAGACTACAGACAAATGACTTTACCTGAAACTATCTTAACATACAGTCAAATTGCTTCTCAGGTAATTGAGAGAAGGCTAAGTAGTTAGATTTTTCCATTGGTGGTGATAGCTTTGTGTAGTGGTTCACTGTCTTTGAAATTACTGAAATTAATTTAAGTTGACAGATACTAAGGCAGTCTGATTTGTTCCTCTTAGTATCCTAAGCCTGAAAGTGCCACAGAGCTTGAACAGTAGAAGAATCTTGTCATCATGACCCTTACATATTTAGTAAAGGTAACTTGTGCTACAGATAAGACATATATTGGTGCCACACCAACTGAAGCTGGGAATAGGGACTAACTAGATGTATGAATTGATTAGTATAGGGAGGAAAATCTTTTTGCCAATTCAGGTTGGCACTGTCTTTACAGCTTATCATCTTAGAGATAACTGAGCAGCTCAACGCAACTCAACTCTGACATTCAGCTTAGTGCTCAGAGGTTGTGACTTGCACAGGTCATACAGGCAGTATGTATCAGAGGCAGGATTTTAATACAAGTCTTACAGACTTTAAGACCAGATATCTGTCTGCTTCTTCATACTACCTCTGCAACTGAAACTAATAAGCTGAAATTGAGCATGTAAATTCCTACACTTTAGTTCAGTTTGTCAACCTCACAAATATAAAATATGGGAAGGTTTTCCTACAGGATAAAAAAAATATGGAGACTTTGAATTAAGAGTGTGCTGTGGTAACCAAAATAGCTAATAGAAAATTTATAATACAATAAGAGAAGCAAGGTGTTCAGGAGGTCTTAGTCCCATTATACTCTGATCTTGTTTAGACTTTACCTTATTGTGTTTAGTTCTAGATGATTCATTTTAGAAATGATGTTAACATACTGCAGAATGTTCAGAGGAAGGTGAACAGTATGGGCAGCCACACTTGAAACAATACTCTATTGTTGAAGGGACTGGGGAATATTTAGCCAAGATAAGAGAAGACTTAGTGAAGGACATGATAGTTGTCTCCAGGGAGTACAAAGAACACTGGGTTTGCAGTGAGGACCTAGATTGAAAGCTAAGCTCAGCTACTTAAAATCTCTATCACCTTGGGCAAATCCTTTTAACTCTCTCGGCTTTAGTTTCTCAGTTTTGGACTAGAGGATCTCTTCAGTGTTTTCTGACTTTAAATTCTATAATCCAATGATGAATATTTGAAGAACTGTTTTGTAGAAGAAGGGATTTTAATTGGCCCCAAAGGGGCAGAACTAGGAGTGAAGGTTAAAAGTTGAGGAGAGACATATTTCTGTTTGACGTAACGAAAAATTTCCTAATAATTAGAACTATCCAAAAGTAGAGATTTCCTCTTTGCTACAGGTCTTGAAGAAATGACTGAATGATCCTTTTTTGGGGCTTGATGTAGAAGTGATTTGTGTCCATATAGGGTTTGGAGTTGATGGCCTGTGGTCTCTTTCAACTCTGGAATTCTCTGATAGAGTACATTCCTTAGTCCCATTTACAACATTCAAGCAGAAGAGCATTTTCATTTACTTTGCTACATCAAATGAAAGGCTTACTTGGCCAAAGTCCTGGAAGATTTGGGGAATGTTAGAAGTAGCTTTGAGGGTTCAGAGCTCTAAAGGGAGTTGTTCCACCTTTTTCTCTTAGATGAGAGATGCCCCAAAGAATAACATAAAGAGATTATTTCTTAGCTGTGGTAATTTGGTCAAACTCCAGGTTAGAGTTTTCTGGAAATTGTTGTCAAGCCAGTCTTCCCAGACATCAGAATTGTTATTACCAGGCAGGTCCCCCCACCCCCCATTAATTGTGATTTTTTTTTTCTTCCTCCAGGGATGCCTGTATCATTTGCAACCTTGACGAATTTGTGACTGAGGCTCTGGACTTGCCTAATTTTCAGGAAAGGGTACAGGAGTATAAGGAAAACATGCTGGACAATACAGCACTGTTAGGTGAGTGGAAACTTCCATCTATGTTTTGGCAGAGTCTTTACAGAGTAAAGATTTTGTTGGTACAAGAGATTTATCTTTTCTGACATTTTTATTGTACAGATTTGAAAACAGACTTAAAGAAGGGAGGTTCCATGTCATAGATAAATTTTAGTGGCAGATCTGGTAATCAAACCCAGGCTCCTGATTCTTTTTCCAAAACTTAAACCAAAAAAAAGACTATGTCTCCTCATCTGGTCTAGGCAGATATTAAGGCTACGATACTTAATTAAGTGTTGTTTTTTTAAATAGATATGTATTTTTCCTACTTTTTTGAAATGTTCAGGCTCCTAGTTATTGTCAGTTCATGATTTTCTTGCAGCAACTTGGAAATCTCAAAACTCTTTATAAAATTCTTTCCATTTGTGTTTTGGGAAAATTTTTTTTAAAAATAGTCATAACCTAAATAGTTTTGTCACCTATAAAATAATGACTGATAGCAGATTTTAATAAGCCACATAAAAGTTGTTTTTATGTTTAAAAGAAAAAAAGACTTTCTGGGAGAAGTGTGACAGAATTTGCTTGTATAATTTCACAGGTAACTGAAGTCTTTGACTGTCACATTTCTCATATATTGTCTCTTTGGCCATGAGAAGAAAACATTCTATGTGGTTAGTCTTAACTGTCTTTGTTTTTAAAACAAAGATCAAAGAACAAAAATCACTTATATGATTGTTATGTTAGAACCCCTAGACTCTCTTACATTGAATAACTAAAACTAACTCTGAGTTGAGGAAACTTATTCTTTCTCTTTATCCTGAACTTGACTTCTGAATTTGACTTTTTGAGGTGTGCTATCTCCAACAAGCTGTACAAGGGGCCTCTCAGTACTTGGTTTTTGAGGCTACTGTTGTGGATTGTAGATTGAATATTGTATAACTGTTGTTCAGGAAAAATGGGACATTCTCCATGTGCTTTTAAACAGGGAAAGGAACCCAGTATCCAGAAGTCATATTCCTTGGAACAGGATCTGCCATTCCAATGAAGATCCGAAATGTCAGTTCCACACTTGTGAACATAAGGTATTGTTTTGGAATAGTGAGGAATTTTTTCATCTTGTTGGTAGAAAGGTCTCCAAAACCCCCAGTGATGAATGTTGGACATAAAGTGATTCCTAATTGTTGCACACTACAGACCAGATCAAATGTTTTCAATGTTCCTCCTTCCCTATTAGGGCTATGATATGATGCCATGGCTATTAGTTCACCTGTTATTGTTAAGTGTTTAGGGATTATCATCGTATATTCCATATACCTGATTTTGGGAGCTGTGAAAAATATCCCCTAGTGGGGGGTGGGCAGGGAAAGCTTAATATTTTTTTCTTTTTAAGCATCTTTTAAGTGGATGTACTCATATCTTAAAGCTTCCTTATTACTCTCTTCATCAGTAGTGTGATTATTGAATATGATTTTTTTTTCACAACATGATGTATATGGCTAGGTACTTACAACATTTCTTTTTAATTTCTTCTTAAACAAAGTTAGTGGAGCATGTGCTGATATCCTTCAAATTACTTGGGGATTTAACCACAAATAGTTTTTTGGGGCAGAAGCCATGAAAAGAAAAGTGACAAGAAAAGTGGCCGCTTGTGCGAGTATTCCTTGACATGACAACCCATAATGCAGAAAATGTATCTTGTAGATTATCTACATCAAAAATAAATGTGTTCTCTGTCATCTAAGAATTTTGAATGACTAGTTCTCCATTTAATTCTAAGATATACCAAAAATAACTGCTTGGGGACAGCACTCATAATGTGGTGAGGAGGAGGAGTTATAAAGTATGGGAATACTTTATAACTCCTTTGTAATTGAGTGGGAAAGGATACTATTTGTATGGAAGGCATAGGCAGGATTTCCTAACCTAAAATTTAGTTGCACTACAGAGAAGATTGTGTGGAACAAAAACTAACCCCCTGGTTAAATATCCAGTATTCCATTCTTCTATCTTTAGCACTACTATCTTTAGCACTAAGGACATGTCAGTAGTAAAAGGCAAGTGTGATACCATAGAAAGCTCTGGACTTGCACTCAAAAGATCTGGGTTCAAGTTTCAATTCCATTTACCTCTCTGAGCTTGTTTTCTCATTCAAAAAATAGGACTGATAATATTGGTACCACCTACTTCACAGGGTGCTGGTGAAATAGTAGTGTATTAATCTGGAAATTTTTGGTTATAACAGCTAGGTGGCACAGTGGCTAGAGCGCTGGTCCTGGAGTCAGGAAGACCTGGGTCCAAATCCAGCCTCAGACACTTAATAGCAGCACGATCCTGGGCAAATCACTGTACCTCTATTTGTCTCAATTTTCTCATCTGTAAAATGGGGATATTAGCAGCTATCTTGTAGAGTTTTTGTGAAGATCAAATGATATAATAGTTGTAAAATACTTAGCACAGTGCCTGGTGCATCGTAGGTGTTTAATAAATGCTTATTGACTAACTCACTGAAGAAAATGACTCCCAAATGATTAATTATTTCTTGCTTGATAGAATAGTTACTTTCAATTTCTATAGTGTTGTTGTGTACATCCAGTTCCCTCTGATTGTCTCCTTAAAGGAAAGAGTTTGTGACTTATAAGTACAAGGTTTTTGAGTGATCTAATTTTTGTCCTTTTTAAATTCTTAATCCTGAACCATATTTTCCAAAAGATTTTTTTGCCATTTTCTTCTGGGTCTACTTTTTATGGGAATTCCTGATTATTAGGATATATGTTTTGCTTTGAACAATATTACAAAATCCTTTGTGGAATTTTTTTTTTCTACCTCTTCAGTCTTAAGAGAAGATATTGGTACGTAAGCTTCAATTATATTCATATTGTTGTTTTTGTTCATAACTGTAAGGCAAGATGATCAAGTGTCCCATAAAATGTTTGTTGTTTTCTTGGGGCCCGTATGTAACCTATTCTACCTAATTCATTATCTGTCTCTCCTAACCCCTAGAAAGGCTAGTGCCTTCCCTCCAAAATTATCTAAAATTTATCCAGTTTATTTTTTGATTGCACATAAGCATTTGCTTCTCCCTCATTAGACTGCAAATTCCCTGAAGGCAGGGATGGCTTTTGCTTTTCTTTGTAATATCAGTTCTTAGTACAGTGCCTGGCACATAGTAGACACCTAAATGTTTGAATAAAATTTGATCTTTATTAAAAACTTGAAGAGAGAATATGTTTAAAGGTAACCTCTATAGGCTCTATGTTTCTCTTCTCTTGATTTTTCATTTGAGGACCTCTATAATTGAACAAATGAAATAATATATATAGTGCTTTGTAAACCTTAAAGCACACATAAATATGAGCTATTGATATTATTAAAAGGAATTCTCACAACTTTTCTATGTAGTAAATAAATTAAAATATATTTAAAGAACATTGCTCTGCTATCCCCATGTCTGTAAAACAGAAATAGTCCTCTAGCAGGGGTGCCAAACACTCCCCAGGCCACCAAAGTTCAGAGTGCTGCCCAAACTGTATCAACATGTAATTGGGAAATGTTTAACAAAATAAATAAAAGATATAATGCAACACAGATGATTTTAATTTGTGGTTTTCTAAGTCAATATGCAGCCTGCTCTCCAGTCAGTTTTTATTGGAGTCTTAGAGCATTGCTCTACCTTCTTTTTTTTTGTTGTTTTATTTTGTTTTTGTTTTTTTAGGCAATTGGGGTTAAGTGACTTGCCCAGGGTCACACAGCTAGTAAGTGTCAAGTGTTTGGTCTGAGGGTGGATTTGAACTCAGGTCCTCCTGACTTCAGGGCCGGTGCTCTATCCATTGCGCCACCTAGCTGCCCCCTCTACCTTCTTAAGAAGAATTTACTCTAACATTTTTTTCTCTTGGTACTAAACCTTGTGGTATTCTCCCTGGCAGCTCTGACCAATCTCTGCTACTGGATTGTGGGGAAGGCACCTTTGGGCAACTCTGCCGCCATTATGGGGATGAAGTGGATAGAATCCTGGTTAACATTGCTGCTGTGTTTGTGTCCCACATCCATGCAGATCACCATACAGTGAGTACTGACCTAGAACCAAGCCTTCTGTTCACTGGCTCAGTAGCCTTTTTATTGTAGTTTACTTTTCAATTTTGTGTTTGTATTTTTTTCCCCCTCAATACCAACTCTTTCTCAGGGCTCTTTCCCATCCACTCTTTCTGGAAAAAGACCCCTTTTCTTGCCACCAGGTTGTTTGTGAATTTCTGCTGTTGTGTTTCTTTTATAGTATCTCAAGAGTTGGAAGGACCTTGTCCAACCTTTACCAGAACAAAAATACCTTCTCAACACATCTGACAGGTAGTCTTTGCTTGAAGACCTGTAGTAAGGGAGAACCCACTGCTTCCAAAGCAGATCATTTCCCTTTGAGGATAGTTCTAATAAACTTGAATTTGCCTCTTTTCAATTTTTTGTTTTTGTTTTTGGTTCTTTTCAATTTCTTATTGCTTCTAGTTCTTATCTCTGAGGCCAAGCATAGTAAGTTTGTTTAGTAAGTTTATTCCATGTTATAGTCTTTCAACTTGCACAGAGCTATCATGTTTTCTCTTAAGTTTTCTCCACTCTAGACTAAATATCTCCAATAGCCTTTGTTGATATTTCCATGGCATGAATTCAAGGCCCTTCACACTACCTTCCTGTGGACCCTCTTCAGGTTTTTCAGTGACCTTCTAAAATATGCTCCTCTTGAACTTTCATGACCTCCTTATTTAACCACACAGTGCTACTCTGATTGCAGCCAAAAATTTCATTAGTTTTCTTGACTGCCATATCACATTGTTAAGTTATATTGAGCTTACAGTTCACTAAAATATATAGATCTTTTTTAGACAAATTGCTACCTAACTCTCCCTCAAGTTATAGTTGTGAAGTTAATTTTTGGATCCTAAATGTACAAGTTTACAGTTATCCCTATTAAATTTCATTTTATTAACTTTAGTATAATAGTCTATTAAGATATTTTTTTCATCCTGAGTCTGTCATTGATTGTTAGCTACTCTTCCTATCTTTAAGTCACTTGTAAATTTGATAGGCATGCCGTTTCTGCCTTTATCCTAGTTGTTGAGGTTTAGGGGTGCTGAGACCCCAAAATCCCGACACATGGGTCCTGCCCGAATGAATTTGACCCACGGCTTCTTTTAGCCAAAGGCAAGGTTTATTAGAATGTTGATCAGGGGTGGGTGAGAGTTAAAGAGTTGGCCGTATTGGCCAGACTCTTAAGGAATCCAAGTATTTGTATCGCTAATATGAGCAGGCCAGATCTTAATCTGAGCACCTTAGTGGAGGCCATATAGACCTTATATACAGAAAGACTGTGGGAGAGATCGAGGAGTGGCTAAGTAGTCTGGGGTGACTGTGAGGTAATAGAAAGCCAGAGACCTGGCCAAGGGAGAATAGAGCCTAGATAGGATTAAGGATGGGAGATTGACAATAATGAAAGGCCAGTTGATAGGATTATAGCCTCAGGAGATTTGGCCTTGTGGGAAAGTCCAGGGCTTTTCCTTTTTGGGGTCCAGATCCCAAAGACATGGTCTTTTCCTTTTAGGGGTTCAGATCCCATCCCCATCATTGTTATTGATAAAAGTTGTTAAATAGCACAGAGCCAAGCACAGATTCTTGTGCCCACTGCAGATTTTCAGAAGTTGGCATTAAACTGAGACTATATTAGAGTTCATCTTGGAATCTACCTAATTAAACTATCTTCTAGCCTGAATAGCACAAGAGACTTTGTAAACTATATTGCCAGATTTCTTAATTTGCTAGCTTAATAAATTTATCAAAAAGGAGATAAGTTTAGTCTTTCATGGTTTATTTTTTATATACATTCCGTTCTTCCTTCTAATTTTTATTTTTCACCAAAATGCTCTCTACCATGATTTGCATGATTTTCTCACATCAGTATACCTTCTTAATGTACACTGCTACTCTTCCTCCTCTTTTATCTTTCCTATTTGCTTTGAATAAGATACACTCATCTGGAGAATTTAGTGTTACCAGAAAGGTCAAATTTGCCTCTTTACATTAGATCCCCTAGTACCTTTTGCTTGTTACTTGAGTTTTGGGCATTCACATAATTCACATTTGAGATCAAAAGTTTTACTAGCAGTAGTGGTTCCTTCTTGGATTTTGTTATCTGTGAACTGCTGAGGGTCTCAATTGTTATTCCTCCTGCAAAGTAGCTTCATTCTAGGATGTCTAACTAACTTGATGGATATACCTATGCAATTTTTATCTTCCCTCTCCCCCTTTAAAAGTTCTTTTAAACGGTTTAAAGCCCTTTTAATTAGACTTGCAAAGCACTAAACAAATTCATTTTTACCCGCCATTATTAGTTATACCCTGGCCTAAAGCCTGCCATTCTTTTATTTTAAGCTGTGCTTTAGAAATTGAAATCCTTTTCCTTGACACCACCCTCTTAAAGAGCTGTTCAATTTATCAGGCACTTACTGAATTTGTTGCCTTTGTTCTATGGCAGTGATGATAACACCATCTGTGCTCCTAAGTTAGAGTAGCTACATGGAAAAATTGGTAGAATACTAGGCCTTGAGTCAGGAAGTTAACTGAACTGAAGTTCAATTTTGGCTTCTGGCACTTACTAGCTTTGTGATCCTGACCAAGTCACTTAACTGCTACATGTCCTAGTTTCTTCAATTGTAAAATGAGGACAAAAACAGCACTTACCTCACAGGATTGTTGTAAGGGTCAAATGAGAAATTTGTAAAGTACTAAGCACAGTGTCTGGCAAGTAGTAAGTACTTAATAAACATTTGTTTCCTTTCTTCCTTCCTAAGTTCTTAGTTTTTTTGTGGGGTGTTTTGTTTTTTTTTTTTGCATAATAAGACTTTGTAATCTTTAGCATTGCTTTCTAAGGCAATTTGTGCTCCTGTGAATCACCAGGACTAAGTCATCTGCTTTCATAAGTTTTGTGAAGTTCTTTGTCATGTCCTGGATATATGCTCCCTTCAGCAGGACAGTGACCGTTTCTTCATCCTCTGACCCTTATTGTATAATCTCTCACCTGGAAGAATCTATAGATCTACACATCATTCCTTGGAGGATAAGCAACTGTTTTCTAATAGAATAGAAACTTTTTGCTGTCACATAACAAAGTGCACGATACATGCTTAGTTAGTTGATTTATTGATTGATTTTCCCTTCCCTTTTCTTAAGGGAAGAAGCTTTTATATCTTTCTGTTAGTTCCATGTACTCAGTAGTCCTTCTTTCCTTTTTCTCTGTGACATTCTGTCTTCCAACTTCCTAATACAATTTAGTATTCTCTGCCTCTTTTAGATTCTTTTTCTTTACTTCCATATTGATGCTTTTTTTTAAAGGAAAATTTCATTCTTCATGATAGTCTGGTAAGTGGAGAGGTGTTCTTCAAGTCTTTTTATCCCTAGACACCTCTGTCTAAGAGAGGTCAGCCTATACTTTGGGCTTAGATAGTTGGTATTCTACCATAGCCAAGTAACAGCTTTATACACTTAGTTCATAGGAAAAATTTTCCCTGTTCTGTATTCTTACTGGAAATGAGATGTTCATTCTTTCTTAAGTCTTACTTTCTCACAGGTGTTTTTTGAATGTAGTTGGTATCCATTCAGCTCTGAGGATTGATGTTTTGATGTATGAGTAGGCCATTCCTTTTTCCTTAGCATTCCAGTAAAAGCTAAAATGGGGCCGTCTTCAAAGTTGTCCCTTTAGTGTTCACAGGCCTGAGGATCTAAGCCCTGTATAGGATACTCATGTGCTACAAATACTAAAGAAATTGAACTCTAAAACTAAGTAAAATAAAGCTAAAGAGAAGGAGAAAAATAAAACAAGTTTCCTACTTGTCTCCATCTTTACCTTGTATTTTTGTTTTCTAGGGCTTATTAAATATCCTGTTGCAGAGAAACCGTGCTTTGGTAAGTTAAGCTGTTTTTTTACTGGCAGCTTGAGATTCATGGATTTCATATATGTGTATATATATATATTTATATGTGTATATATATATATATATATATATAATCACAGGAAACACCCATTTCTTCCATTTCCTTTGAGCTTTCCTGAAGATGCATCTGTGCTGTGATCTCCTTTTCTGTTTTGCTTTTCAGGCATCAGTGGGAAAATCATCCAGCCCACTGTTACTAATAGCGCCTACTCAAGTCATGATGTGGCTGCAGCAATACCATGACCATTGCCAAGAGATTCTAGATGCTGTCAAGTGAGTGATTATCACCTGCTTATCCAGTGACATTACCATTCCCCTAACCTAGTCCTTCTCAAGAGGCTTTGAAGAGCCACAATTTTTAAACCTTTTTGTATCGTGGACCCTTTGGTAGTCTGATGAAGCCTATGAACCCTTTCTCAGAATAGTAAAAATAATAATAAATTAAAATATAAAGGATTATAAATGAAACCAATTATACTGAAATATAGTTATCAAAGTATTTGAAAACAAGTTCATTGGCTTCAGGTTAAGAACCCCTACTGTAGAGTTCTTGATACCTGCTTGAGTATCTTACTCTTGGCAACAGGAATCATATCTGATGGTTGCATCAGAACCTCAAAGGAGACACTATGTAAGCTTAGAACTAATCAAAAATATGAGAGAAAAGAATCTAAATTTGAACTTTTTGTTTTCCAAGCAGCTGTGAATTCAAATTCTCTCTTGCCTTAATTGTGCTGTTCCTATGGCATATGGTTTCCTGTGAAGTTGCCTATTTTATGGACTATGACTTGCGTGTAATTTTATTTCTTAGTAAGTTTGTATGTTGGCCTCATTAGAGGTGAGGCCTGAGCTTTGATTTAAATTTTTTTTCTTTTTCTCTACATAGAATGATCCCTGCCAAGTGCCTCCAAAAAGGAACTGAAGTCTCCAAACCCATGATTGCAAAATTGATTACTTCACTGCTAGAAAAATATGATTTAGAAGAGGTACAGAATCTACTAGTTACCTCATAGGGAGAAAAGTGAGGTAGCAGGGGTAGCAGAGCCCTTCATGTTTTTTCATTCAGTTTCAGACTTGTTTGGTTCAGCACTGTAAGAATGCTTTTGGTTGTGCATTGATCCACAAATCAGGCTGGAAAATAGTTTACTCTGGTGATACCATGCCATGTGATTCTCTGGTCCATCTGGGTGAGTAATTGCACATGGGTAAGAAATTTGGTTGAAGTTTGTTTTTTTTAAATGTTTAGTTTGATATTTTAGTAGGTGGAAGAGAATGCAGGAAACTGATTACAGTAGCATATGCTTTAGTGTCAGCATTGGATTCTCCTTGCCTCCTACTTTAAGTACCTCAGTCATCTTATCATGTGCAGAAGCAGTAGTGCCAAAGAGGAAGACTACTTTAGCCAGGAAACTAAAAATAATGGTTCCCCTCCTTTCATGACAGGCATTTAGATAGTGTTAACTTATTTTCCTTAGGGAAAGGAGCTACTATGCTTATTCATGAAGCTACTTTGGAAGATGGTTTAGAAGAAGAAGCAGTAGAAAAGACACACAGGTAATTTGCTCCTTAGCTCTTTTCTGTTAAATGTGACCTCTCACCCCTTCTTGATGAGGTGATTTTGTCTCAGTATCTTACCAGCAAGTATACCATTATAGAACTGCGGCTCGTGGTTTGTATGCTACTTCAGCTTAAAGGGGATCTTCTCTCTGGATAGGAACGAAAATGTTGAAAGACAATTCACAGACCATCTGATCTGGCTCATAGTGAACAAGATAACACATCTGCATCTCCCAAAAGTGGTCATCTGGCCTTTGCTTGAAAGTCGTTTTGCTCTAGGACAGCACTAGTTGTTAGTAACTTTTTCTTTACTTGGAATCAAAATCTGCCTCCTTGAAGCTGCCCCTATTGCTTCAGCTCAGCTGCCTTTGAGGACAAGCAGAATGAATCTAATTTCTCTTCCCTTTGATAACCCTCTAGATACTTGAAGATAGAAGTCCAGAATTCTTAACATTAGCTTTCTTCATTTCATTATGGAATGGCTGATTCGTGGAGTTTATGGTCCTCTAAACTTCTGGAAACTTTTCACAGGAACTGTGTTCAGGCCATGCTTTTCTAGTCTTGTACTTGTGCAGTGGGCCAACAGTCACACCTACCAGTTCTTTCACTTACCACTGAAAGTCTGACCTGAAAGTTCAACAGTTACTTAGCCCTTGAGAGGGTTGTATAGTTATAAGTTTGAGAGATCATTCTGAAAATTAAATGCAATCAGGAGACAAAGACTACAGATTGGAGGGAGGAGACTAGGGTAATCTTATTGAATGTTTATTGAGTTCCCAGCATGCAGGGCACAATACTAAATAACCTGATAATTTTATACTGCTTAACTATTTTAAAAACAATTTACATTATTCTGGATAATATTTATAATACATTTTTCTGGATAATCCACATTTTACAGTTGGAAAAACTGATTTGGAAAGTCATTTTGCCCAAGGTCATACAACTGGTAGGTATGGGAATGGAGAACTGAGGTCTTTTGTAAGTCTAGTATTCTTTCTGCTATTATAAGTTCTGTAGTGTTTTTTCAGGGATGTGAAAGTAGAAGTCATAGTTCCTGCTTTTAAAGAAGTTTAAAAAATAGTCATAAAAGAAGATAATTAGAGGTAGCTATCTCAAACTCTGAGGTCGTTTTATATTGAAAGTTAAAGGTTTCAGATACCCTTTTGCTTCTTGTGCATTTTAAGTCACATTCTGCTTCCTTCACTTATTTGCAGCACTACTTCCCAAGCAATTGGAGTTGGGGTGAAGATGAATGCCAGGTTTATCATGTTGAATCACTTTAGTCAGCGTTATGCCAAGATCCCTCTTTTCAGCCCTGACTTTAATGAGAAAGTTGGGATTGCATTTGACCACATGAGGGTATGTATATTATGTGTTATGTAGTTGGTTGAGGATTAGGGCAGAGAATTTGCATTGTGTACATCTGGTTTTTCTGAAACATAATTCCAAAAGTCCTTTCTCCTATTCTTTAATTAGCTAAGTTATTTATTATAGCTTTTAGCTATATTCAGAATTAGAGCTTGCCTGCCTGTGATAATAAGTTTGATTGAAGAATAGGTACTGCATTGGTTCATACCACATTTGTACCTGTATTTTTCAGTACATAACTCAGTGGTACTTTGTCTCATGGTCTGAAGGAGAAAGCAGTCAATAGTTGCCTATTTTTAATGGTGGGTAGATGGTGTGACTATTATCTGTTACTATATAATGAAATTAGGAAAGATTGCATTCAGTTAACTTCTGCTTTTCTTTATAGCATCTTTTTTGTTAAGATCTCTTGAACTGGGAGTAATGTTAGTAAGGCAAGAGCCATTTTGTCGTTGACTGCTGGTTACCCATGCCTTTTTTTTCCCCCTGACCTATATATAACCTTTCATTTCACACTTCTGTTTAGGTTGGCTTTGGAGACTTTCCAACAGTTCCTAGGCTGATCTCTCCTCTCAAAGCCCTGTTTGCCGATGAGATTGAAGAGATGGTAGAAAGGAAAGAGAAACGGGAGTTGCGACAGTTCAAAAAGGCCATTAGTGCAGATCACTGTGGGCATGATGATGGACAAGGGCCCAAGCAGGCTCATAACAGAGAAGAGGAACCTAAAAGCCCACCAGTCAAAAAGCTCAAAGTAAATTGAAGGCATCTACTGTGGCCCTGGACAAGGAGAATAGGAACTCATCCTTCCTTTCCTTTCTTTATGGGGAGGTCATGAGATCTGATTGAGTAGAGTGGTATCTTCTTTTGCACTCTAGAAAAAAAAAATCCTGTTAACTTTGACAGAGTTACTGGGAAGTAGAATGTAATCTCTTGGAAGATGGATGGTGTGATTTTTGTCTTTGCATCCCAGTGTCAGTCATATAATGCCTTGCAAATACTAGTTATGTTATAAATATTTGTGGAATTGAATTTAAAGAATGAACAAATTGAATCATATACAATTGAAACGTGACTAGATTAAATTATCAGAAAATTTAAAAAAAAACTTGTTTTTTAAAATATCTTTAGACAATCAGCAGATGGCAAGATGGAAAATAGGATATCCCACTCAGGTAGAACTAATTTCTCTATAATGCAGTAAGAGAGAATGATAGCATCCTGAATTTGAGTGTTGAAATGGATGTTAGCAGGCATGTGACCAAATCTGACCAGTAATCCAGCCTCTCTCAATGAGGAGAATGCAATACCTACCAAGGTGTGACATTTCCCTTTTGAACAGCTTCAATTGTTAGGAACTTTTTTCCTGACATCAAGCTTTTATTTGCTTTTTTGCAACTGCTACCCGTTACTACTGGTTCTTCCTTCTCAAGGCATGTACACACTGAAGACCTCCACTACCTAATAATACTTTCTGAGTCCAGTCATTCAAGTAGTTGCAAATTATTACTATGCAATCCTGCTGTAACTTTTCTCCAAGAATGGTATGAAATACTTTATCAAATGCTTTGTTAAACCTAGGTAAATCCTATATAGAGCATTCCCCGTTTTTATTTTGTTTTATTTTTAAGCCAAACTGGTTCTTTGTAATGACTGCTTCTTTTTCTAGATAGGCTTATATGGTTAGAACTAGAAGAGACCTTTGGAGGCCATCTGGTCCAAACCCCGTATTTTACTCATGAGGACACTTGACACCTAGAGAGAATAAATGGCTTGCCCAAAATTACACAGGGAGTTTGAGTCCTTAGACTCTAGTAGAGTCAACGTTCTTTCCCCTCTAACATTTTGCTTCCTTGATGTTCACTAAACCATTTCTGTAATGATTAGTTTTAGAATTTCTGCAGGAATTAGACCCATGATTTTCAGATTTTGTTCAATTTTGTTGAATTCAGCTTCCTCATAAACCTCAGCTCATTATGAACTTTAGCACTCCTAACACTATTCTTTCAAGATTATGTCATGTAAACATCTTCTCTCCTATCCTTGTTTAACTCTTTTGAACATATCTTTTTACACGTTTTACACTTTTTTACGTTGGGCTTTCACATTGGTCTCTTCAGACAACTATTTTTCCTAATAGAAATTATTTCACTTTGTGTCTTCAGAATTTCATCCTTTCAAGTTTCTTATCATTCCTGGACAGATTTCCCCTGCAGAATTTTAATCCACAGGATTCTGCCGCAACTCTCTGAAATCTAGCATGTGTGTCTTAACTGTGCTTCCTCTTCTCTTTTACAAATTTTGGAGGCAAAAAGGGGTCAAATTTTTCCTCCCACCCTGTTTCCCATCATTGTCATCCCAATATCCTGTCTGTGAGAATCAGATTGATTATGAAATTTTTTCTTGTTGGTTCCTCCATCTTTTGAAGGAAGACATTCTCAAGAAGTTAATATTTCATCTGCTTTTGGCAGAATGGATACTCCAGTAAATATCTGCATAATTGAATTGTCTCATCATGGGTATATTATAGCTTTATGCCAGGATTTTGATCTGTTTCCTGAAATCATCTATATCTCTTTGTTCAAGTGGCCACTTTCTATCCACAGTGATATGTGTTCCAAGGGGAATGTGATCAGTCAGATGGTGGTATGTCTACAACATAACACATGTACCCTTCATCCATTATCCCACAACACACACCTGCTTCATCCTTCCAGTCCCTGCTGCTTTACAACTTCCCTGTTCTGCAAGCCCCTTGAGGCAACTATAATCTAATTGCTACCTGTGTACCCATAGCAGCAGCTGCATAGGTGCTACTGGGAAAGTTCTCTTGCCTTCCAGAGTACCTTTTGACAGAGCAGGCACCTGAAGGGTGGGCATTCTGTACTAGGAGTATGAGCTATCATCCCCTTTTTGTTTTGCTTTGGAAATACATTACAGTAGTACCTGAATATAGCATAAATGTACAAGGGTTCGTGCTTGTTTTTTTGGTTTTCTTTTTAACAGGTAAGAGTGCATGATCAAAAGTTTGTAGAGTACTGGGCTACTTTAGCACTATCCCTTCTGTTTCACTTATTTATATCCAGATGCTCTCCCTCACGTTTACTGTGTCTCTGGATTTTTTACTTAGTGCCTAAACCTTAAGCATTAATATATAGGCTTTTTTAAAAATATATTTTTTATTTATTTCATTAAACATTTCCCAGTTACATGTAAAAAGATTTTAACATTCATTTTTTAAAATTTTGAATTCAAATTCTCTCTCTCCCTCCCACTCTCTTTGAGAAAGCAAACAATATATTGATTATACATGTGAAGTCATACAAAACACATTTCTATATTAGCCATGTTGCAAAAGAAAACAAAAAACTCCAAGAACAATAAAGTTTGCTTCAATCTGTTTCTGTATGCGTATAGACAGTCATGAATCTTTTGGAATTGTCTTGGATCAGTGTTGATCAGAATAGCTAGGGGCTTTCACAATTAATCATCATTATAGTATTGTTACTGTGTTCAGTGTTCTGGTTCTGCTCATTTCACTTTGTATCACTTTATATAAATCTGCCCAGATTTTTCTGAAACCATCTAGCTCATCATTTCTTATAGCATAATAGTATTCTATCATAATCATATACCACACAGTTTGTTCATCTGTTCCCCAATTGTTGGGTATCCCATCAATTTCCAATTCTTTGCCACCACAAAAAGAGCTACTATAAATATTTTTGAACAAATAGGTCCTTTTCTTTGATATCTTTGGGATACAGACCTCGTACTGTGATTACTGGGTCAAAGGGTACGTGTATGGGCTTTTGAGACAATGGATTTTAAATGGTTAGGTGTCCCAACTGCTGTTTTCCTTCACTGTCGCTTTTTTCTTTGGTATAAAACTTGGTGAAGATAGGCAGTGTTCTCTCTTCCCCATTCTTTTTATTTTCAAGCCCTTTTGACTAGATTTGCAAGACATCAGGTAAATATACTCTTACTAGACCTTGTGAGGTAGGCTACATCCTTGATTGAGGAGTCTGCCATTTCTGTATTTTAAGCTGTTTGTTCAGAAGTCCAAATTTCATTTTCTGAGATCACCATTTTAGTCAGCTTTTCATATTTGTCTAATATTTCTTTTCTTTATCTTGCCTTCAGTGGACAATAGGGTAGTCTTCATTTTCTTGTATGAGTCTTGGTAATAATTTTCAATACTTTTTATGCTCTTCACTTTACTGTTTTCATTATGTCAATGAATATGTATCTTGGTATCCATGAGCAGGGTGGCACCAGCTACCACTGCACTATGTTTTTTTCTCTGACCCTTACCAGATGAACTCTCAATTGATAGCTTCTGTGAGTTTCCTTTACTATACATGGGAGCACAAAGGAGAACTGCCTCCTTATAGCCACAAGTTCCCATCTCTTTAGAAAGAGCTTCAAATTTGTTTTTTAGCTTCAAGTTCACAGTTGTCCTTTTTCTTCCTCTCTCCGACATTCTTCCACTCTGATAAGGTCTTTTCCCCTTTTCCACTTCAGATGACCCTTTTTTTTTTCCCCATTGAAGTGCTGCTTCCATTTCCTTTAGAAATAGCTATGCAGATAGGTGGGGCAATGAATAGAGCCATTGGACCTGTAGTCAGGAAGATCTGAGTTCAAATCAGACTTCAGACACTTAGTAGCTATATGATCTTGGGCAAGTCACTTAAACTCTCCCTCCATTTCCTCAACTGTAAAATGAGGATCATAGTAGTATTCTCAGGGTTGTTGTGAGGATTAAATGAGAGAATATTTGTAAAGCACTTAGCACAGTGCCTGGCATGTTGTAGGCACTTAACTGTGTGCTTATTTCTATCTTTTCTTCTGCCACTATCACCTCCTTGATTCCTTTCACATGAAAAGGTGGTTCTTTTCCTTGCCAAGGCACAAGTGATCCCATTCCATCCTGTCTTCTCCAGTAGATTGCCCCTTCTCTATCATCCCTCACTAATCTTCAATCTCTTCTTGTCTACTGGCTGCTTCCCTTTTGCCTACAGACATGCCCACCTTCTTCCTAGGTTTGTTGTAAAGATCAAATGAGTGAAGTGCTTACCATAGTGCCTTGAACATAGTAGGCACTTAATGTTTGTTTCCTTCCCAAAAAACTGGAATGTGGAAAGGGGTTTCTTAAGTTCCTTTACTTCTTTTAGAGGGATTACCAGCCTATACTTGGAACATACATAGTAGTCATTTGTCTGTGGCAGAAAAACCAAACATGGCACACTCAAGTCAAAGTACTTTAAGTGTTGACACCTCAATCTGCACCTCTTGCAGCTTTCAATTACCTTCTTACAACTTTATATAGTCACATTCAACTTTGTTCACTAAGTACTTTTGGTTTGCCAATTTGTTTTACTTATTTTACAAGTTTATTTTTTATCTCCTCTCTTACTTCTTCCAATAACTTCAAAGAATCACAAAAATTAAAAGTCATCCTACCCTTACATGAAGAGAATCCCCTAATGACATAATGAATAAGCTTTTGTATGAAGACTTCCAGTGAGGTGGAATCCATTACCCCTGGGTAGCCCATTCCACTTTTGGATAGCTCTAATTCTTAAGAAATTTTTCCAAACTTTAGGCCTAAACTGGCCTCTTTGCAATTTGCACATGTTGCTTCTGATTCTGTTGTCTGGGACCAGACAAAATAGGTCAATCTCGCTTCTAAATGATAACCCTTCATTTGAAGGTGGCTACCATGTTCTGAAGCTTCTTTTCTCCAAACTAAATATTTTGTTTCTTCAGCTCTGTCATATGGCATACCAGCTTGGTTGCCCATAAAACTGTGGTTCCCAGAACTGAATGTAGTATGCCAGATAAGGTCTGGTAAGGGTCAATACAGTGGGACATTTACTCCTGGAAGCTATTCCCTCTTAATTTAACTCAAGAAGACATTAGCTTTTTTGGCTGCCACATCACACTTTTTTTTTTTTAATTTTTTTTTTTATTTTTAACATGTGTTTTTTAAACTTTGGGTTACAAATTTTCTCCCTTCCTCCCTCCCCACCCACCCTCATTGAAAAGGCAAGCATCTCGATACAGGTTATAAATGTGTAGTCATGTAAAACACTTCCATAGTAGTCACATTGTGAAAAACCAAGTATATTTCCCTTCATCCCATCCTACCCCCCATTTATTCTATTTTCTCTTTTGACTCTGTCCCTGTTCAGAAGTGTTCGCTTCTGATTATCCCCTCCCCTCTATCAACCCCCTGCTCTCTTGTCCCCTTTCCCCCTTATTTTCCTGTAGGGTAAGATAGATTTCCATACCCCATTGTGTATGTTATTCCCTCCTTAAGCCAAATCCTATGAGAATAAGATTCACTCATTCCCTCTCACCTTCCCCCATTTCCCCTCCACTGTAAAAACCTTTTCTTGTCTGTTTCATGTAAGATAGTTTACCCCGTTCTACTTCTCCCTTTCTCCTTTTCCCAGTATAATCCTCTCTCACCCCTTAATTTTATTTTCCAGCACATCACACTTCTGACATATTGAGCTTGTAGTCTAGTAAAACGCCCAGGTCTTTTTCAGAACACTTGCTATCATCCATGCCTCTCCTATTTGATAAAGTTCATTTCTGTACCGAAGTGCAAGACTTTAATTTATCCCATTTATCTCTATTTAATTTCATCTTATTAGATGAGTTTCCTTTGATCCACATTAGTGTTTTAAGACAAATCCCATTTTCCTGTTTGGAATTGTTTCCTTTTGTGTCTTCATAATATCAGTATTGAGAATCTCCTGAGCTGTAGCCCCTTGTACCATTTTTGTTCCTGGAGTCTTTCTTGTCCTTCCTCTTTCGAATCTGCTTTCCTAAAATCTAGGTTGCACATCAGACTTTGCCTTTTGTCTCCTCTATTACAGACTCTATAGTGGAGTAGCTTCTTCTCTTTAGGTTCCCATTGTTTTCGACAACCAGTACCTCTGTTGTAGTGAGAATCAAATATAGAATCCCCTCCCCCCTTTTTTTCCTTGGTTACCTTTTCGAAGTATAATATCAATAAGCAAGTCAAGCAGTTATAAGTTCTGCTTTTGCTGAGAGAGTTCCAACAGATGTCTGATACTTGAAGTCTCTATCTGTATTATATTCTAATTCTATGCCAAATTTGTGATCTGTTGTCCAAAATCTTACATGTTTCCTCTTTCTGTCTGAGTGGTCTGCAGTCTACTCAGATGACACAATTACTTGCTTTTCTTCTTTTTATCATCTGGCTCTCTGTTTCTGCATTTCCTCACATACCTTCTCTTTTATCCATCCTGTTTCTTTTCAATAAGGGAGAGTTCTTTAGGTTCTTTTGGCAGTCAGATAAGTCCTATTACCACTGCTCAGAATAATGATTTTAAATGCATAAAATAACAAAAGATTACAAAGGAAAATAATTATGTTGAAATGCAATTACCAATTTTAAGTTTACAGAATTCAAGTTAATACCTGAAATAGAGTATACTTACGTAGGGCCAGTCATGGATTTCATCTCACCAAGTCTCAGTAATCCTTATGAGGTCAATTTTGCATTAGGACTTCTAGTTCTTATTTATTGCCTGAACTTTGGACATTTATATACAGACATTTAAAACCACTAGTTTTACTATTGGCTTATTTCTCCAATTTTTCTCCCCTAGAAGATATTAGAATTTAGAGAGAGCACGGAATTTTACTTTCAAAACTTGTCTAGAATCCATAAGGACAAACAATTGTAGATAATATGTGGTGAAGATTTTCTTTGGAATCATGACTTCAGAATGTCCAGGAATTGTGTACTTTGTGCTTACTCAATTCTGTCTTCTCATTCAGACTTGCCTACTCACCACCACCTCAATGAGAACATGCTATACCTTACAGTGGATATTGGGTAGCTGAGTGCTGTAAGAATGACATTGCATTAAGGGAATCTACACATTTAAGAATGTCCCTTCTGCTTACAGCAGTCTACTTTATCTATTTTGTTTGCTTGCATTGCATAACAATTCCACCAAGATACAATGGGTTGGTAGTGATGCTTACAAGGTGCTGGATCCACTTCTACCAGTGCTACATATCACCTTTGTGGGAACTGTATGATTGTAGTACAAGGAATAGGCATGAGGTGCTCATGCACCACCCTGGTACAGGCCTTCATCATCTCACACCTTCAAATAGCCTTCTGATTGGTCTCCTTTACTCAAGCCTCTCTCAACTCCTAATACAGCCTAATACATTCAGATGTCAAAGTGATTTTCTTAAAGCACAGATGTGGCCATGTCACCCCCTTAAAGTCCTTCACATCCTAGCCCTTTCTTGCCTTTACAGTTTTCTTAGACTTTACACCCTTCTATGTACTCTATAATTGAGCTACATTGGCCTTCTTGCTGTTTCTTGTACACAAAACTCTCTCCCCCAACTCTGTGCTGCTTGCCAGTAAAAAGGCACCCCTTGTCTGGAATGTTCTCCCCCTCTTACTTGCACCTGACTTCCATAGCTTCCTTCAAGACTGAACTCAAATTCCACTTTCTAAGGAAGGTACCCTGCCACCTCCCTTGCCTTCCCTCTGAGATTAGCTTCCAATTACCCTGTTTATGTTCTATGTATGTGACTGTTGGGATGTTATTTCCTATAACATGAGCTCCTTGAGGGAAGAAACTGTTTTTGCCAATCTTTTTAGCCAAGGCGCTTAATGCAGTGTCTGATAGGAAGTCTTTAATAAATGATTACTGACAGCTATATTTGGTGGGGCTAAATGACTGGAAGGAAGAGCACTGGTGAGAGAATTCTCTAAAAGTTCTTCATTATGTGTGGGTGGAAGATTCTCTCCCATATTCCTTTGTGATCATAAACCTTTTTCCTCTCATGATAAAGCAAAATGGTCTTATTATTTGACCTTAAAAACTAGGGAGCTACCAATTGGCTATTATTAACTATTTCTTTGGGTATTGATTCATGTAAGATAATTTTGCAAAGGGAATATGTTAGTATTTAGCTTGATAATGCTACAGCAAAAAAGGTTTTAGAAATATTTATAGGAACTCATAGCTGAGGAAGAGGCCAACTGAAGACTAACAGACACTTGATTTGTCTCCATTTTAGAGTTTTTTGAATAGAGTACATATTTGAAAATACCTGACATATTTAGGGTGCTTTTCCATTTGACCAAGCTCATTTGATTGTCACAACAATCCTGTGAGATTGTCAGGGCAGGTAATTCTATCTTCCTTTTTTTATAGATAGGGAATCAGGACAGAAGTTTCAGAATTTGTGCCCAAATCTCACAGCTAGGTAGTGCAATTCTGGGTTTAAACCTACATCTATTGATTCCTCTGAGGCACCAACTTAGATAAACTGAATCTGAGACTTATTCCTTGCATATTTTTTTTTTTATAAATACAATAAAGTATACCATACTTAGTGACAATAAATATTTTAATAGCATTATTTTTTGACAACTTATGCATGTATAAAGGTGATTTCCCCACCCCTTACTACATTTACAAACTAATGAGCTATACTTGTCATTTAAGTGTGCAAAGCCTACAACATCTTTAATTTGCAAATCCTGCAAAGAATTATTTTACAGTGTGTTGGGAAAAATAACAAAGCATTTGAGTTTTCATTGTACATTTGTACATTAGTTTAGATGAAACATCTCAAATAAAACAAATATAGAGATTTCATATATACAAATATAACATTATAGTATGTATATATTTTTTTCAAAGGATAAGACCTTAAACTTTGACTTTGCATGCATGCCTTGAATTTAATTCTTCACTCCATTTATAACTTTAAGCCAAAATTTTTAATCTCCTCTGCCCTGCAATGATCTCTTGGGTCAATGTTCACATGCCCTTTTCCTCATTTCTCTTTCCCTGTCATTGATGTAATCAAATGATGGGAATGATTTATGTCATCAAAGAAAGTATGCAAATACATCTTATAGCATTAGTCTATTCTGTTTGGGAACAGTCCCACTTCCACATGTTAGGACATGGAATTATTGCTATTCAATTGTAATTTTTGAATAAGGAGAGATCCACAGGTTGATGGACATGAGCTTACCTCGTGAACCAAATGCTTACTACTAAGCAAGCTGGTATAATCAAGTGATTATGAGCTCATTAAAGGAAAACATACCATCTTCAGATCTAACAGCTCTTTTTGTGGATGTGAGTTCTCTATCCTTGGGAAGAGTGGGGTAGTCAAATAACAGGTAGACTTCCATGGACTGAAATAGACCTATGTTTGGATGGCAGAGAGTTTTTGCAACTTGTCCCTTTTAGAAACAAGGACTTATTACATAAGCAGTATCTGGATGGAGAGGGGTCAGATGTTACTGCACACAGGGCTGAAGATAGAAATTCACTTAGGTACCAAGTCAAAAGGCAATGATCAAAGAAGGCTAAACTAAGCACCTAAAACAAACAAAACCACTATGTCATCAACACTTGCCATAGATAGGAGATCAGTGGCTTTCTTTAAAGTCCAACTTCATGTTGGCAGTGAAAGAAGAAAGTGCTGATGGAGAATGCTTAGCAAGAGCACTGCGACATACATCCTTGAAGTGTTTCTGGGGGCATGTGTATATACAAGAGTGTTGGGTGAGGAGCTGCAGTGTCAAAGGGCAGTGCTTTCTGACTCTTCCTCTGAGTCTCTTTTCTCAGTCCCTGATTGTCTTGTCATGTGCTCCAGGAGACCCGGGTGGAGTGAAGAACCAAGCTCTACGTGGATAGAAGGGATATCAAAGTGGACAAGATCTGGAAATGTGCAGAGAAAAGTAATTGAAATAGTGCCTCTTGCTAAAAGACACAAGTAGAATCAGCATTAAGGAGCAGGGAATTGTGGCCCATCCCATTACCACTACAGCCTCCCCCCACACACCACACATACATACTCATACACTCTTTTTTTTTAAGAGAGGATACATTTATGACGTAGCATACTACTTAATGCAAAGATGAAGGATATTATCATGTTTGTGATTAGGCTCTTCTTGTTCCTATTTTCCCTACTTGTAATAAGGTTGGAGAGGCTAAGGCATTCCAATTCTGTCCTTAAATTGTAGTTCACACTACAGGCTGATGAGCAGTCACTTCATGTTGCACTAGAATATAAAGTAACCTTATTGGTAATTTTGTCCTATTTCAGTACCATAGTGGGAAAATCCAGACTTCTGGATACTGAGAAGGCTCCAGTTAATTGCCTAGCCAGCTCCCACGAAGAGCTTAAGAAGGTAAATCTGATGCTTTTTGCCACCTCCGTGGAAGCAAAACTTCACTGGGCTTCTCACCCCAACAAGTCTAGGAATAGTTGGAGACAGATTAGATCTCTGTCACATGAGGAAACGTGAAGTGCAGTGACTGGAATTGGATCTCGGACCCTAATTTCAGTCACAATACACTGGTCCAAACCAGAAATCCATTGTCCTAAAGAAGCTCTGGCACTATCCCCTGTTATGACAGATTTATAATCCCTCTTGATTACTCTTAAGGTTATCTTAGTCCCCTTTGCAAAGATATTTCCAAGGGAGAATCGGTCCTCATGGGGGTCAGGGTTTTCACTTTCCATGACTAGCAAGAAGAAAGTACCCGTAAGACCAATGTGTATGTGGAACTCCTAGAACATCTTTATTACCTCTTGTTTGAGGTAACATTCTTGGTTGAAGAAAATGATGGCTGTAATCTCATTCAATCCTGTTATTTACCCTCCCTTAAATGGGTTATCAAGGACTGCTAAGCTAGTGGTGAAGAAATGTGGAATTAATGAGGAGCTACAGAGCTCCAAACAAACACTGGATAGTGGAAACAGCAAAGTACAGGTTTTATGAACGGGATTAGCCACTTGCCTACTACTCTTTCCTACCTCAAATAAAAAAATTAAAATATCTGTAATAATGCAAAACAGGCAACTTGAGTCAGGTTTCTTCTGGTGGAAATGTTGAGAGAGTACCTTCCAGTGTCCTCAGATAAAAAGCCTGGAAACTATACAATCCTTGACCCCCTCAAAGAAATAATGTGATTTCTCCTCTGGGTTTGCTCTTATTTATGTTAAGCTATTTGGCAAGATACAGCACAAGGCTGATTGAATATATATCTTTAATGTATCTTTACATGCCTACCACTGTTTGGTCATTATGTATCCAGAATAACAAAAAGGGGAAGCAAAATAGATCTTCTGTAGCACCGCTCCCCACAAAACAAAGGAAAATGAAGTTCAGCCTTGCAGACCCCTTTCTTTCACTGACCTTTATGGAAAGAAGTTTATTTCTTATTTCTTGGGCAGCTCCAGAAAACATTCTTACCAAGGCTTGGCTCTGGTAGGCCAACCCCATTCTAGCTATAAAGACACAATGATAAGCAGAGATCTTTGGGGCTGAAGAGCCCAGCTATCAGTTGGTGAAATGAGGAAGACTGACAGTCGTGGTATTAGTCCTCCCTTTACCTATGTAGGTGGGCCTGTTTTGGTCACCACAGTGCCAAAAGGAGGAGGCACATGGGCTCCCCTTACTCTTCTGCCTGACATTTAATGCTGTAAGATGGAAAGAGCAATTAGCAAGCAAAGGGAGCAGCCATTGCCCCTATATTATAACAAGCTCACACAATGGCCACTGCAAGTAACCATACTTATAATTGCAATCTTTTCATTCAACTAAAAAGTAGCAGGAGACAAGAATGCCAGTTTTGGCTCACCCTTCTCTCTGTGATCCTAAGAAAGTCAAATTGTCCTTGAATATACTACTCTTAATTCCTTTTGCTATTCAAAGCAAACTGTCCAGTTCTCTAGAAACTTGGTTTTGCACAAAAAAAGGAATACATATCTATCATAATAACCAAAATGCTAATTCACATGGTTGTGTTGTTAGGTGGTGTCAATCTGGGAATGGCTAGAGAACCTGGCTTGAGAATGTTTGAAAGTGGGGCAGCTAGGTAGCGCAGTGGATAGAGCACTGGAACTATTTTTTTTTTAGAACCTTGTTGAGATAACTTTCAAACATTCTCCTTTTTTTTTTTTGGGCAATTGGGGTTAAGTGACTTGCCCAGGGTCACACAGCTAGTAAGTGTCAAGTGTTTGGTCTGAAGCCAGATTTGAACTCAGGTCCTCCTGACTTCAGGGCCAGTTGGTTTTGAATGACAAAGATTTTCCCAAACTGGGCAGATATGTATAGATGTATACATATATACATCTCAGTCTAGATCTGAGTTTTTGTTTTTAAAAATATTCTTTATGGAACACTTTAAGAGAGGCAGCTTATTGTAGTAGAAAGAGTACTGGACTGGGAGGCAGAATATCTGCTTTTAAATTTTTTGCTACCATTTATGTGACCTAGGAACAATTTACTTTGCCTTCCTGAGCTTCAGTTTTCTTATCTGTAAAGTAAGTGAGCTAGACTAGATTATCTGCAGTCCCTTTCATTTAAATTCCTTTGATTTTGTTTTTGGATGCTTGTTCAACCTCCTGAAGGGTCAGTGAAGGTACCAAGAGCAGAAGCAACTATCCCTACTTTACATAGATGTCTCCCATCTGAGATATCTCCTAGCTGAGATAAAAAAGGGTTAACAGGTGGTAGGGGTGACTTCTGTTATAGTGTTCATCCATTAGACCTGGTCAAGTAGCATTATGGCCATCTCTCAATAATTTTGAACTCTTGCATCTGACTTCTAGAGGTACTTTCTCTAAGAACACTTACAGGAAGCATCGAGGATCCAGGCCAAAGTTCACTCTTTGGAAATAGAAAGTCATATGATCAGTCAACCAACAGCACATCAACATCCCCTGGGAGGAGTAACCATAATCAAATAAGGGGAAGGTGCTCATACAAGTATTGAAAAACAATTAATGAAGTGATTTGGGGGAGGAGAGAAGGAAAATTGTTTTTCCTTAATTGGAGCAGAAGAATAGAAAAAGAAGGTCAGCAGTTCTAAGAAGCCAAATAAGCTTACTAATAAATTCATTGTTAGTGAGCTTGTGGAATCAGTAAGAGCCACACAGCCATGCAACTCGGGTTGAGCCACATGCAGAGGTGATGAGTTAGTGACAGCAGCTGTCAAGTTGACCTGGGTTAGCCTTCAGAATTAGAAGGGAGATGGAGACTGGGATGCCAGCTTACCCTGAAAATCCCCCTCATACTTATCCACAATTGCGCCACTCATTGTCAAACAGCTGCAATGACACAATGATAGGATTTGGAGAAAGGAATAAAAACAAGGAAACAACAGAACTGAGAAAATGCTAAAAATCGCAGTAAGGTAGAATTTCAGTTCACACCAGTTAAGCAAACAAAATAATTACAGGTATTATACTACAAGCTACAGAAATTATTTCAGAGACTTGTACAATTAGGACAAAACTCAACAGTAGGGAAAGCAAAAACAGCAATAACAACAAGAAACAATGTGTGTGTATATGTATGTGTGTGTTTGCACAGGGAAATATATATTTGTTCTCCAGCTCAGTGTTCTCAAATTCCACCATTGATTATTTGAAAACTAAAGGCGACTGTCTTTTCAAATGCCTTCTGGTCCCCAGTCCTTCCACAAAAAATTCCAAGCAAAGATATCTCACTCCATTTCTCAAATCAAAGATATGCTTCTTTCTTCCTTTAAATATTTTCCTAACCCTCTTCTTTAAATTGCTCGCAATAATTTCTACTATGCTTTTCTTCTTATACTTGGGTAGGGTAGAAAAGCAGAAAGATGCAACTCATTATGAGAGTAGTTTGTATCTAATTAGTACAATGCTGTCCTGGGATTTTTTTTTTTTTTTTTGGTTACAGAGATCATTGGTTTGGGATGTATTATTATTATTATTAAAAAATCAGTTTGAGGACAAGGATGCTGGATAACCAAGAATATGTTAACAGCAAATATTCATTAGTGAATATGCCTTAGCTTGAAAGGCTAAGGTGTGTCTTTAGGGAAAAGACACTACCACAACAATAGACTCACTTAATGAAGCAAGCTATAGAGGGGGAAAATGGTGTTCAAATATGTTTTTCAAGGACTCTTCCTATAACTTAATAACCATACATACATGCAGTTTCCCAAAGCTTGTTATAATCCATCATAGTGGATTATAACCTCACAACCTTGTTGTGAGAATCAAATGAGATAATATTTGTAAAAAGTGTCTAGCACAGTTCCTGGCACATAATAGGCATTATACAAGTGCTTATTCCTTTTCACCATTATAGTGATTGCTGACTGATTATAAAACATTCTTAATAACTATTAAAGCCATTGGATGGCTTAAAATGCAATGAAAAATGTGATAAGAAGCTTTGGACAATGTCTAAAAATAAAGTTGCCCATTCGTGAAATCTTAAAAGTGACATGAAAATGACTGTTAGTATCAAAGTAAGCAGGGAGAAGACTAGGATTATTTTCTAAGAGGACATCCTTTTCTGATCCTGGTGTCAACCACCAAGCTATCTGTTCTCTCAGTTGAGGTTTGCCTGACCTCTTCCAAAGCTTTTGACTTCCTAAAGAGTGGGAACTTTTATAGCATTAATCAGTCATATCAGGTGTGTTTTAAAACTCACCTTTAAATCTATACTTGAGCTTGGTCAGTGCCATGAAAGAAAGGTTTTAAAAGTGCTTTCTTCTTTCTTATTCAACAAATCACACCTACTGAACATATCTGTGGATTGGACTTTCATACTTAAGAATGGAAAAATTAATTTAGCTTAGTAATAATAGCTCAGTTTTTATTTTATTTAATTTAAATTTCTTGAAATAAAGACCTAAAGATAAATTATAGTTCACCATTTAGGATCTTAACCAAAACTATACACCATTGAGATTCTTAATTTGGGTAAAGAGGAATGATATCTCAATATATTTTTGTAAACTTGGGTCCTTTCTTCCTGTAATTAGTATCCTGTTGACATAGACTATCATGTTCAATAGGCTAATTACACTAATAGGAAGAAAATGTCTTAAATTATGTTTATCCTATCTTACTTTGGAACTCAGACAAGTTCTGTGACCTTCTATATTTCACACAGCAACAGAAATCTCCCAAATCTTTAAACATAAAAGACAGAGATGCCTATTTTGATGTTTGTTAATTCATTAGTTAACCATGTTCCTATCACTTTTCACAGTTTCAAAGGCTCTTTTTCAAGGTTTACTTCTCCAGAAAAATTCAAAATGCATGGAACTCCAAGAGCGTGTAGGTGTCAATGTCAAAATGCTAAGAGCATAAAGAGAACCTGGGCTCTTTGCAAGCTGACCTAAATTCTAGCTGCTTTTCAATGGGTTTGTTGCTAGGAGTAAAAAGATGTTATCTTAGAAGTTACACATGACACCACTACAACAATCTCAATGGTAAATAGAAATTGATTAACCATCAATAAAATCAAATAACCTCTCTGTTCATATTCTACTAAAGTTCATAAAAAATTTCTAGAGAGCCAGTGGCTTGGTTACCTGTAGACATGCTTTCCCCAGAGGACATGCCATCTATCACAAGGTGGTCCACAGACTGTGAACCAGAGCCAGAAGTGTTTACTGTAGGAGGCTGTGGAGGTGGCAGCGTGGGCCTCTGTCGAGGCTTAGGAGTAGGCCGTGATTTGGTTAAAGTGCTTGTGATGACAGGAGTAGATAGGGATAGCGTTGTAGCAGGGGGAAGCTGGCCTGAAACCAATAAGTAACCTTGAGGGTAATTCAGTCCATAGGGAGAAGGGGTACTTGGAGGTGTAGGAGACAGGCTGACTGGGGATGGCTGGCCAGCAGACTGGTCAGTCATACCACCTAACTGACTGAAGGTGACCTTGGGTGGTATTGGTGCCAGCTTCTTTGAAACTGAAAGAAAAAAAATTTAAATACTATTAAATTAAGCTCACTTCATTTGGTTTCTAAATATACTTTCATACTCTTACGCTGGCCTTTTACTAAATCTGATAGGTACTGAAAACTGTATTGGCTTCACAACATTAACCTATTCATTTAACAATCATTTATGTAGAACTTATTACATGCAATATAAAATTAGAATAAATTAAATGGTAAGGGTTCAGACATCAAAAGAGTATACCAAACAGGTTAGTACTAGATTCCCTGCAAATTTCTACCGTATTATTTTCTACTGTTATGAGTTTTACTGCTGTGCATAATGGCCACTACATCCAGACACTAGAAGAGTACAAAACTGGAGAAGTAACTACAGAGAATTTTCCAAAATAAAGAACACTAATCTGAATAATTGAATTATGACGAAATAACTGAATTATGCCTGTAATAACCCCATTATTTTTCCTCCCTGAAATCACAGACCTTAAGCATATTTATTTCTAGTAACAAATTTATATTTGGTACATCATGTTAGATCTAGCTTAATTTCAGCTTTTTTTGAGGGGAATGGGAGTTATTGTTGAAACTTAGAGTTGGAATGGAAATCTGGGTACTACATGTATTAGTTTTGGGGAGTGAAATTCTTCCTGTTTATTATGACACATACCATCTGCTTGCAGAACCCTATAGGAGGGTACCTTCTCCAACCCATGGTCGAGCTCTGTACTATGCTGTACTCGGTACCATTGCTAATGAAAGTATATGGCACTGTTCTAGGTACTTTAACACTAAGCTCTCAGAAATGGTAGTGACAAGTATCGAAGGAAATTTGTGTCACTGAATGCAGTGGTAAGGGATGAGTCTGGAGCATCTAAACAAAGTTCCAGATGAGAAGGTGATATTTACACTTTTTATAAAGTTAAAATATTTAAGTATATCATGAAAATTGAGTCAACATAGTGCCCACATAATTAGCCAACTTGGTGAATCTAATCTAAAGTACAACTGGACTGGTTGGTTGGGTATCATATTGATAATACATTGAGTGAATGACCAAATTTTTAATGTTTCATAGAAAGACTGCTGTATTTAGGATCTGAGGACCTGCATTCAAATCTTTACTCTGCCTGTGTGACCTGAGGCAAGCCTCTTCACTTCTCTGAACCTCAGTTTCCTCATTTGTAAAATGAAGGGGCTGGAATGGATGGCCTTCCTGATTCTAAATCTACAAAACTAGATATCCTATTCAATGCAAATATGCCAATTTCTCAGTGTTTCCCCACCTCTTCTAAGTGATAAATTGGAATTGACAGCTAGAGGTGTAAAAAAGGGAGACTATTTACAACTAGATTGAAACAAAAAGCTCATCGAACTATTGATCAGAAAACAAATCAAAGTTCAATTTAAGATCATTAGAAACTTCTTAATTTGGAAGGAAGAACTCAAGATGGAGAACTTTGATGTCTGCCTGAGTCATTTAATTGATTCTAGGTAAATCATTTTACTTCCCTATTCCTCAGTTTCTTCATTTGTAAAAAAGCGGGAAAATGATATCACCTCCAAGTTTTTCTCCTGCTGTCTCTTCACTCACTGGCTTCTCTCCCTATTTGAATAGCTTCTCCATCATTCTAGTGGCTGATGAGAAAAACTATAATCCCCCATCTCCCACCTGGAAACATGTAAATACAAACTAAAGATTTCTTAGCCACTTTTGGGTATTGAAGAGGATAGCTCAAAAAGGAAGACTCGGACAATTAGGCTTCTTTCAACCACCTGGGGCTTTTCCCACTTCTTTATTTCTTTTATTCTGCCCCAGTAACCCCTCTCAAAACTACTCAAATAAAATCATTCAGTCCTAGCTCTTTGGTGAAGACTGTATGTCTTCACTTACCTTGTTCTGTGACTCTAAATGGTTTAAAAAGGTTCACATCAGCATGCTCAGATCCCTAGGTCTTAAAATTCAGTGTTCTCTGGCAATCTCTGTCTCACCAATTGCCTTGTTGCCCTGGAGAAACCTTTGCCCTTACATGCTGCTGTCCTGATTGGTCTCAAAGCACTAGTTCAGAAAATCCCCGCCAGCCACTGTGCTTCACTTCCTTCTTTCCAACTCTCTCCTTTTCACATGATTTGCTGCTATGAAGATAGCCTTTTCTCCCCTCCTAGTTATATGATCTCTGCTATTGTTCCTGGATGGGGCATGTCAATCTATGGCCCTGTTGTCCTACCCACTGAAACACCCCTCTCTGGCCACCCTTTGTTGTCTCTTCCCATCAGAATATAGATTCCTAGAAGTCAAGAACAGTCTTTACTTTTGTGTTTTTATCCTGAGCACTCAGCATTATGCTTGACATTAGTAAGCACTTAATAAATTTTTTTTCACTTTTTAATTTTATTTGCCTTAACTTCTTACTCCTCTAGCTTCTATTCTTTTTTTCCTCTCAATGATCATGAAAGAGTATTAATAACAAATGCATTGTCTTCAATGGAAAATGTACTGCAATAGTAAACAAAATTAGAGATAGAAGAAAATATCATTAGAAAACTTCAAACCTGCCAGGATTGTAAGCCAGTTGGTTCTAGAAGAAATACTGTCCCAGGTCACAAAATAACAAGGTTCCAAAGTTGGAAGGAACCTCAGTTGGCTATCCAGTCCAACCTATAACTAAATACAAATTTCAAGTACAATACACCTGAGAAAAGGTCATCTAGCCTTTGTTTAAAGACCTTCAGTGAAGGAGAACCTATCAGTTACCAAAGTAGCCCATTCCATTTTTAATTAGCTCTAATTCTAGGAGACTTGATATCAAGCCTAAATTGGCCTCCTTGGGACTTATAACTTTTGCTTTTGCCCTTTGAGGCTAAAGTCTAATCTCTTTCCTGATGTGATAACTTTTAAAGTCTTCAATGAGACATCAGTAACTATTTCTCTTCTCATATAGAAAAAGAAAATCTACTTATTTAAAAAATATTTTTTTCTGGTTCACTCCATTTGCCTGGAAGAAAAACTACATTTTTAATAAAAATTTTCTCATCCTACTCTGGGCACAAACTTCCAAATTAAGCTTGATAATACAGCTAGGTATCTAACCAATGGGGAACTTAAAATATATGTTCACAGTTTGGTTTAGCCCTCGGTTGGGGGTTAGGAGGTGGGATAGGGGAGGAAACAAACATTTATATAGTGCCAGGAGCTGTGCTAAGTGATTAATAAATATTATCTTATTTGGTCCTCACAACAACCCTGAGAGGTAAGTACTGTTATATTCAGTTGAGGAAACTGAGATAGACAGAGATTAAGTGATTTGCCCAGAGTCATATAGCTATTATGGTCTTAGGCTGGATTTGAACACAGGTCTTCATGGCTCCAGGACCAGTGAGCTATCCATTGTGCGATCAGATGAGTAGGTAAAATTATCTTTAATTACATAAATATCTTTCCTAGGACAGATGATTTTAAAATCCAAGGAAAGTAAATATATTTAATTCGTCCTTAACAGTGAATCTTATTTGCTTTTATGCTTGGCAAGTTAGTGGAATATATTACAAAATATTTTTTCAGTGAAATAAGTAATTAATGTACTAGAAGAAAGAAAATAGTTTCTATGCAAATATGATACTTGTCAAATCTGGTACATCTAGAGTTCTTTGATAAGCTAAGCAAGAATATGAACAAGGAGCAGAAAGTGTATCTAATTTATAAAGACTCTCTTTTAAAAAAATAAACATAGATAAGATTCCATTCCAACAGTTCAAAAGATTGAGTCACTGTAAAATTCAAAAATGGGTAAAATTTCACTAAAGGTAGGTGACTGGCTGAAAGAAACAAACATAAAGATATATGAATGACAATTCCTCAGGGATTAGCGATGGAACAAGTCATTTTGTAAAGGTTTTTCACAAATCAATTAATGATTTAATATACATTTTTAATCACATACTATGTGCCAGGCATTGTGCTAGGTGCCAGAAATGCAAATGCAAAAGCAAGGGAGTCCTGTCCTCTAAGCTTATATTCTACTGGCAGGAGGTTGAGGGAGATAAAGTATGTTGACAGATAAATAAATAAAGGACCTATTTTAAAAACACAAAGTGATTTGGCGAATGTAATGCCTCTTGAAACATGTGGTACTTGAACCAAGAAAAGCCTAGGGGTTCCAAGAGATCAAGGTGAGTGTGGAGAATATTCCAAGTATAAGCACACCTTATGCAAAGGCATAGAATTAGGAAAGGGAATACTGTGTACAGGGAATAGCAAACAGGACAGTTTGGCTGGAACATGGTTTCTGAAAGGTAATATATGAGGTATAATTGTCTGGATAGGCTGAAGCCATATTATCAAGGGCTTTAAAAATCAAAATAGAGAAATGTGTATTTTATTCTAGAGGCAACAGGGAACCACTAAAGTTTCCTGAGAAGGATAGTGACATAGTTGGACTCATACTTCAGGAATTTGAATTTGGTAGCTGAGTTCAGACTAGATGGGAGTGGAAATTGGAGGAGAAATGCAGGGAGATCAATTATAAGGCCATTGTAATAGGCCAGTGTAATTTCCCATTTTGGGATTATGAACCATGACACATGGTAGATGAGACATGGAGGATGATCCAGGAAAAGGAGAAGGAGGAAGACATCAGACAGATAGAAAGGAAAATTACCATGACAGACCAGAGTCACAAAAACCCAGACAGGAGAAAGTATCCGAAAGGAGGAGGTAGTTAACAGTGTTAAATGCTGTAGAAACATAAAAAGAATGAGAACTGAGAAAAAGACCGTTAGATTTAGCACTAAAGAGATCATTGATAACCTTGGAGAGAGCAGTTTAAGTCAAGTGTAGGGAATGGAAGTTAGATGACAAGATGATGAGAAGTGAATTAGAGGTGAGAAAGTGCTGAAAGAAAGTCCAGGCAACTTTTTCTATGTCTTTGGCTGTGAAGAGGAGGAAAGCTACATAGGATGATGCTCTTCTGAGAAATGAAATGCCATGTGAATGATGATTATGTAAATACTACATTGTGAGATGCACAAAGTAGTCATTTAGAGATTTCCTTGAAGATGTACTACACTGCTGCAGTTAGAGTCCTGCCCTTGTATAAAACTATGGTGTACTCACACTTGGATCTCAGAGGTCAGAGACTGAGAAACCCTAAGAAAAGGTAAATTCAAATGATAAAGATAATGTAGAAACAGTTGAATAAGAATGCAGTAAGAATCAGGGCTCTTCAGCTCTAAAAGATGAACACCAAAATGAATATAGTTAATTTCAGTTATGAAGAGGATAGCATGGAATCAATTTCAACAAATCCTTGTACCAAGGAGGCAATGAAAGCTAAAATGAGTAAATGTAGTTCAAATAAAAATATTATTTTATTTTTGAATGAACTTGCAATTTATCAACATATAGAGCTCCCAATAAAGAAATTATCTCTACTAATATAGCATGGCACCTGCCCTACAACTTATAGTCTTGGAAAGCTGGATGAGCCACTTGGAAGTTAAGTGTCTTTGCTGAGGGTAACACAGCTAGTATGTGTCAGAGATCAGACCTGAAACCAGGTGGTCTTCTTGACTCTGAGGTCAGGAATGCTGACCTCATAGCTATGCTCTATACAACACTGTTTCTCAAATTAATTTAATTTTTATTTTACCAGTTATAAATGTATGGAGTTTGTTAACCTAAGAAGCACTGTCCACTCAAAAAAACATGTGGCTAAATTCCTGAATCATGGACCCAAGATCATTTATTAGCAATTTATCAAAGGTAATGTTAGACTTTGAAACTGACCTCAAGGAGAATAGTTATGTTCTTTCTATAGTATGTCTTTTGGTGCCACTGCCAAAGATGGTACACTGGTCTGGATGAGCTAGTTGGGTAGTTCATATGTGTCCCTGATGCCATAGTCCCCTTAACACTCAAGTCTTGGTAGAAGTGAATAATACCCTCTGTCCTGCTAGGTTCTACTAGCTGTGACAGTGAGAAACATAGTGAACAAAGCTAAGGGAAAGAAGGTTCCTACACACTGCTAGATTTGTCTGTAGCATATTAGTGCTGGAAGTGGGCTTTAGAGATTACTGATTCCAAGTCTTCATTTTACAGAGGAGAAAACAGGCACTAAGTGAGTTTATAATTCACCTAAGGTTATAAAGACACATCTGAATATGAGTATAGGGCAAAGTGGTGAGATGATACCCTTCAAATTCAAATTGTAGACAGTAACACTAGGTACTATCTATTAAGTCCTACAGCTGTTGCCTTTGTGTGCCTGGTTTAAAGGAAGTTTAAAACTAGTTTAAACTCAAACCCTTAGTGGGCTGAAGACAAGGACTAATGAGAAAGGAGACAAAAGTAATACCTTTCCGGAGTGTGTGAGGGCTCTGATCTGTGGGGGGCTGGCTGAGAGTGGTCATTGGCTGTGTACTCACACAGAGGACCCCGTGACTGGAGCTTTGACTCTCCTTTTGCCCAGACCCTGAAGAAAGCTCCTTGCTTTGTAAAGTGCTGAAACAAACACAAGGAATGACATATAAATTTATTAAAACCCAACATCACCTCTACCTAATGAAAATGCTAATCATTTTTCAAGGCACAAGTCAAATCTCCACAAAAGGGGAAGTCCTTGCTAGCCAATTCAGTCAATCACTAGACATCTCCCTTCTCTGAACTTTGGTAGCACTAATTGTCTATACCACTCATATGGCACTTATATTCTACCTTTTCAAGTCTATAAGTCTCCCCTACTAGATTGTAAACTTCTTGAAGGCAAGGCCTGTGTCTTTCTTTTCTTTTCCTTCTATCTTGTTCTGTTCCAAGTATAATCCTTGAAAATTGAGGATAACTGGCAAATATTTGATTATTCAATGGATACTCCCAATAAGTCTAAACCAGAATATCACAGATGTTTCAGTACTTTTTTCTCCATTCCTTAGTTGATTAGCAAAGTTTTCCATTTTAAGAGATAAAAGTACATAGAAGCAAGGCCCTGTTTAGGAATTCTTGAACCCCTTTCCATCCTCTGGCAGTCAGCCTTCCAATCCCTAGGGTGAAGCATTTCAAAGTATTTTCTGTTAGGTAAATGAAATTTCAAAATCAATCCCTGAACTATTTTTATTTTTTAAAATTTATTTATTTTTAGTTTTCAACATTAACTTTTATAATATTTTGAATTCTAAATCCCCCCCTTTCTTCCCAAGATGGCATGCAATCTGATATAGGTCATATATCTGCAAACACATTTCCACATTAGTTATGTTGTGAAAGAAGAATCAGAACAAAAGGGGAAAACCATGAGAAAGAAAAAAACAAAAAAAGGGGAAAATAGTATGCTTCGATCTGTATTCAGACTCCATAGTTCTTTCTCTGGATGTGGATAGCATTTTGCATTATGAGTCTTTTGCAATTGACTTAGATCATTGCATTGCTGAGATGAGTTAAGTTTATCAAGGTCGGTCATCACAGAATGTTGCTGTTACTGTGTACAATGTTCTCCTGTTTCTGCTCACTTCACTTAACATCAGTTCATGCAAGTCTTTCCAGGTTTTTCTGAAATCTCCTAGCTCATCATTTCTTATGGAACAAGAGCATTCCATTACATTTATATAACACAACTTCTTCAGCCATTCCCCAATTGATGGGCATCCGCTCAATGTCCAATTCTTTGTCACCACAGAAAGAGCTGCTATAAATATTTTTTGTACACGTGGGTCCTTTTCCCATTTGTATCATCTCTTTGGGATACAGATCTAGTAGTGGTACTGTTGGATCAAAGGGATCACAGTTGCTGGATGACAGTTTTATAGCCCTTTGGGCATAGTTCCAAATTGCTCTCCAGAATGGTTGGATCAGTTCACAATTCCCTGGAAGTATTTTTAAAGCCCTCCCCCTACCCTCCAATCTTCAAGCTATGACCATCCCCACCCCAATGGTATGGTCCTGAAAGACCTTTGAAGCCTGGCAAGAACCACCATCAGGTGGTTCACTGATCTACTGATTCTTATAATCTCTCTCTCTTGTAAGTAATGGTGAATCCTGGGACCTGCTCTCAAACCCCAGAACCACAGCCCACTAATATTCCTACAGACACTGCCAATGTAAATGATGTTCTTAGAGACATTTCAGTCATGTAAATAAGGGTCTTGGGATCACTCAACCCCAAAAGGAGATTCAACCACTACCTTATGTCTTCTTCTCAGAACCACTGCATGTTAAATGACATCCAGGTCTATTATAAGTATGGTAAAGGAAAGGGACTTTCACAGTGGTCTTCTCACAGTGGCTGCTTCTCTTCCCCAAATCCTAAGGGATTATTATTATATCTATTATGGCTTTGTGATTTATTTGTAATTATTTATCAAAAATTTATCAGACACCTATGGACTTTAATTGGCTAGTAATTATTCCTATGAGAGATTAGAGTGGCTTGTAAACAAAGTCAGGACAACTGATATTAAAGTTCAAACAATCTTTCATTAGAAGAACAAAGCAGGCACAGCCAAACAAAAATTTATCAGGTAACTCCTGGGTTGGCTATTTTCAATGACCCAGGAGAGCTGAAATACTGGAGTAGAAATTGAAAGAGGTAAATTTTTTTCCTCAGAGAAGGGGCAAATCTAGTTTTTTCCTGTACCTTTTTGGGCATTAGCTCATTCTGATTCATCTTTTGTCTCCTCAGTTTGGATAAAAGGAAATTGTGGCTTCTTGCTTTCTTAGTCAGGTAAGACATCTTTTGACCATCCCAAACTGCAATAATCACCCTCTCACTCATTTGATTCAATATGTCAGAAAAGGCTGCATGGAGGGCGTGTGTATGTGTGTGTGTGTGTGTGTGTATAAGAGAGAGACAGAGAGACAGAGACGGAGAAAGAGAGAGATGGTAAGGAGTCAAGAAATAGTTGTATGCTTAGGAGACTGAGAGGATAGTGGTGCCTTTGACCAAGTAATATGGTAGTCTGGAAGGGGAAAAGGATTTTTTGGAAAAATTAATTAGTTTAGTTTTTGATAAATTGAGTTTAAGAAGTCTATAGCAGAGAGAATTCTGTGAAGATGGTGGAGTAGGTCAGAAAATTCCAGGCTCTCCAGATTTCCCTGACAAGACAAAATAGGATGAACATAGAGTGGTAAAAATAAACAATAGTTGGGAAGAACAGTGGTCCTTCTGGGACAACTGGAGAAGATCCAAAGAAAAATCCCAAGACTGAGATTTGGTCCCTGTGAAGTCTAAACACCTCCAGGCTAGTTCCACTGAAAGAGCAAGCGGTTAGCCCTGGGGCTAGCCGGGTTGGGAGATAACCTTGGCCCCAGCCACAGGAGATTTCACACACTGGACAGTGTGGGGTGTCAGGCATTTGAGCAGGGGAAGACTGAGGGAATCTTTGCTGATAAGGCATGTCAGGCCCAGCTGTGCTGCTGAGATGTGGCCCTGGGAGAAAAGGAACCAGAACACTCCCAGTGAGTACAGAAGCAGTGGGGCCTGGACGCCACTGGCTGTAAGCACTTGCAGGACAGTAGAGTTCTTGGTTTTGGTTCTAGGCCAGAGGGGAGAACTGAAGGAGGATCTGAAGCTAGAGGCATTCATACCCCATACCCACACCCCAGGACTAGAGGTGATTGCAATAACAAGCTGCTACAAATAAAAAAAAAGTGAGCAGGCAAAGGAGAAAGAACCCAACCATAGAAAGTTACTATGAGAACAGAGAAGATCAGGGTTCATCTTCAGATGAGGATACTGAAGCAAAAAAAAAAAAATAAGCCTTTCCTACCCCAAAGAGTAGTCATGGTCATCTGCCCAAAAAAAATTCATAGAAGAACTTTAAAAAGACTTTAAAAATCAATATTTATTAAAAATCAAAATTTAAAAATCAAATGAGAAAGATTGAGGAAAAAAAAATAAGAACCATCCAAGAGAAACAAGAAGATTATGATAAGAAAGTCAACCAATTGGAAAAGGAGATCTAGAACTGTAAGGAAGAAAACAACTCCTTGAAAATTAGAATTGGGTAAGGGGAAGCCAGACAAGTTATAAGAGATCAAGAAATAATAAAACAAAACATAAAGAATGAAAAATAGTAGAGAAAGTGAAACACCTCATAAGAAGAACAACTGATCTAGAGAACAGATCAAGAAGAGAAAACATGAGAATAATCAGACTACCTGAAATCTATGACCAAAAAAAATAATCTTGATACACAATAATAGAAGAAATAATTAAAGAAAATTGTCCTGAAGTGTTAGAACAAAAGGGGAAAGCAGAAATAAAAAAACTCCACCAATCACCACCTGAAAGAGATCCTATGAGGAAAACCTACAGGAATATATAGCTAGATTCTGAAACCCCCAGGTCAAGGATAAAATATTATGAGCAGCAAGGAAAAAAAAAACAATTCAAATATGGTAGAGCTACAGTTAGAATCACACAAGACCCAGCAGTGGTGACCCTAAAACAACCGCTGGTTTTAGAACATTATATATCAAAGAGCAAAAGAACTGGGGTTGCAGCCAAAAATATCATAGCCTGCAAAGTTAAGTATAATCCTGAATAAAAAAAAAAAGATATTCAATGAATTGCCAGATTTTCAGGATTTTGTTGCAAAAACCTGAACTTAATAGAATAGTTGACATACAAGATCCTACATATCAAAGACAAGGGAATCAATTAGATCAGACTTTACTTTTTATATGAGGAAATGTAAAATGTATGTCTATGATTATTTTTAGTAATTAGGTAGTTCGAAAGAAAGATTGGGGTAGAAATGAGTACTGTGTGATTCTAAAAAGTAAAACTTTAGGAAAAGGTAAAAAGATTAATTATACAAATGGGGTGTGAAAGGAAGAGGAAGGAAGATGGGTGGAGGAATTAGATGGGTGAGGAAGACTGGTAGTTCTGGAATCCTACCCTCATCGGGAATAGGTTAAAGAGGAAACAATACATATATGTCTAAAAGGGTATAAAAGTCTTCTAAATTCAGAAAGAAATAAAAGGCTAAGGGGATAGGGAGTGAGAAGAGGATGAGGGAAGGATTTTTAGAGGGAACCCTACTTACATCAGACCTGGGTTAAAGATAGAACTACATCTATATCTTTATATCTATATCTGTCTATGAATAAAAGTCTTCTAAGTATATAAAGAAATAAAAGAGTGAGGTAATAGGATGGGGAGTACAGAAGGGTGTTTAGATTAATAGGAATGGAATAAAGAGGGAATAACATATATAAGGAGAGTTTCTGTGGCAAGTGGGATAGTGAGCAAATTAGAGAGGTATAAAAGGATTTCCCAGTTGTTATGAGATTGCACTTGAGATTACATAATATGAATATATTTGTTATAAACCTGGTCAGGAAGTGCCAGTGTAGAATTGAACTGGTTTATAAAAATGACTATAAAACTCTTCCAAATGCAGAAAGAAACAAGAAGGTAAGGGGAAAGGGTGGGGAGGAAAGGATAAGGGAGGGATCTTTGGAGGATGGGGTAAGTTGAGTAATAGGAGGACAAGGGAGTGGGTAGA